TTTGCAAATGAAGCTGACACATGCTGTGGTTATTTGACGGTCGAGTTCCACAAAACTCAGAAAACAATGGAGACTTGTTCTATTGATTTAAAATACAGATTTTAATAATTATAGTAACTTTGCATAATTATTGTTATAAATTGAATTTTTTATAAATAAATACATTGGATTGTATGAATTGTATACATTGTAAAATAAATTATTTTATCATATATTTAATACTGGTAAAATAATGATATAGCCTGTAATTGAGCTAACTGACGGTAGCAATTTAAAGCTACTGTATATTAAGTACGTTTATGATAGAATAAAAAATGTATACAGGGATTAAGTGACATCAGCAATTCAATAAGATTAAATTATACGAGAATATTATTAAATTATATATTTTAAGAATAATTTTTGCATATTATTAATATGATGTATTAATTATTTATATTACTCTCAGATTTTATACGTAATTTGTTAATAAATTTTAATAACTCTTCAATAAGTTGAGCTAGATACTTCAATATTAATGACGCTGGGGCTACTAAATAATAGTTTTTATTTCTCATCACGTTTTAGATAACAATTCAGCTAAGACTAATAGATGTTAAACAACATATGCTGCATTTTTTATACAAATGCGACAAGTGAGAAGATGACCCATTTTTAAACTCACTATTTTCCTTTTAACATCCATAGTTTCCTGAAGTCGGCCTTTAATACGAGCTAATCGGTTTTTTAATAAAAACGATTGATCTATCTTTCAACAATTTTTCATAAGATGTAGCAGCTTAACAGCTTAATTCAAAAATGAGTAACGAAACTCATGGAATACGCACATGGAAATGAGGTGACGGTCATGTGGGTTAACATCGGTATTGAGCAAAACGAGAATGTAGATGAACTTGCAAAGCAAGAATCAAGCCATAATTTCTGTGGCCCAGAGCCCAGAATACCATTGAGTTACAACATGACGGCACCCTATGTCAAGTGAATAACCTCACATTAGTGAGGTTAAGTGAATAACCTCACTTTATCTTAATGGATGGAGAGAGTTGAGCACTTGTAGACAGACCAAACTCATGGTGCCGAAACTGTGGGCCAGGGAAGCGATAAAAGTGGTTAGCTATTCGCAGAGCACTCTAAGCTGGCTGACCTCACTAATTACTGGACATAGCAACTTCAAGCATCACCTCAAAAACTCTTGCTGAGGAGACACTTGCAGACTATGTCTAGAAGAAAAGGAAACAGCGGTGCATATGTCGTGTCAATGTCCAGCACTGGCAAGTAGGAGGAAGACTGTCTTAGGACACCATTGGGTTGGTGATGACTTGGCAGGAAACCTCAAGCTAAATGAGCTGCTTGCATTAACAAAAGATGTAGTTATGCGATCGGAAGCCACTCCTGCTTTAACTCAATAACAACATCCGAGAATCGAAGGACGAAAAAGGACCCAAGTAGTTTCGTGGTCTACTTCGACTAATCCTTCAATTCAGTGGGGCCACTTGTTGGACAGTGCGCTGTCCCAACGTCCCACCATATATATACGATCTAGCAAATAAAGGGATATTTAGTTTTTTTGAAAAATTATATAAATTATAAGTTTATTTTGGGCTTTTAGACCCAAAAAAAATATATTTGCTGTGTGTTTTTTAAGCGAACAGTTTTTTCTATATTGTTCTGGTGTTCCTAGTAAATTAAAAATAATAAAAAATTTTCCATCCTTCTTAAAATAGTAATAGATTATTTTATTTAGCTTATAAATTAGAATATCGATTTAAAAAAGTGTATTAAGAGACTGTTTCTCTATTAAAAATGTTTCTATTCTGATAAATATATAAGTAATTGTGATCATTGACCAATTATCTCAAGAAACGAAATTGGTTTCAATTTCGATTGCAAATCAAAAAAAATAAAATTTTGAAATCAATCATTACGGAAGCAAACCCACAATTGATTGGGATGCATGGAAGTAATACTAATTAAAGATTTCACTACGTTGACAGCCTGTTACCAGTTCGACTTCAATTGAAACTCATATCAATTAGATTCAAAATTGTCTGAAATAGGAAACTTATGCATTTTAATTAATTTTTTATATTTTCAATTAATTGGATTGTTGCAATAAAAAGGGGCTTTAATCAACAGAATATGACTTTACATAAATAGAACAACGCTTTTGATTTTACTTTGATTTCTTCGTTACTCCTATTTGGGTCTACAGCAATTATTATTATATCCCCTTAATGTTTTTTTTATATTTATTGTTATATATAATTAAATATTTTGTTTTATAAATTGAAGGCAATAGGCATTTAATGGAAGCTTTCAACTGTCGGGTACGGTGATTATATAACAGGTTGCTGTGAAAGAACGCTTTGAACAGTCTGCTAGTAGATTAATATTCCCTAAATGTCTTGCATGACCTTAACAAACAGCGGTAAGCAGGGCATAAGATGCTGCGAGTGTACTGGTGGTTGAAATCCATAGTGACTATGTGTAAGGTCTACTGACATCAACACAAATAAACTTTGTAAGTTACCAAGTCTATGTAGCTATAAGAAAATCAACAAAAATTCTTACCTTCGAGCATATAAGGACTGAAGAAAACGGTCGCTATCGGAACTATTAAGGTAACCTAAAACCTCCCTTACTGAACGACTAAAATGTGTTGTACTTGTATCAACACATTTCCCAGGTTGTAAAATTGTTTTCTTATACAACATCACTGCGACGAGGTACGTTTCTTCATACCGTATACTTCTTGGACACTATGAAATATACCCAATCAGACATTGGACATGTTCTCCATTATAATAATCACCACATTTTTATAAATGTTTTCGAAAATATTTAGAGTTAATTTTGTAAAACAAACACCTCAAAATGAAGTGTTTTCTCTCCTTCTTTGATGCACTTGATAAACTCATGTGGAGGAAAATTAATTTTTTTTCTTTGATATTGTGAAGCAAAACTTTAGATAATTCCACAACCAGATACAAAAAAGCATTTGCGTAGCCATCACCGGTGTGGTGAGCACTACACTACTCTGGTGATACTCTTAATATCGTGCCCTACTTACTTCCCCTTCAAATTCAAAATGAGCCAATTAAAGTGATCTACAGATTTAAAATAAATGGAGTGTACTAAGTCGAACAGATGTACACCCACCGTTCAATTAGTGCCCCATGTTTCTAATGCCAGTGGACCATTCGGTACCCTTAACACACTTCGCACAAAGATATAATGTTCTATTTCCAAAACGAAATCAATGTTTGAGTTCTGAGATCCTACTCAGTGGACTAACTAGTATATCGTAAGAATCCATCAGTACAGAATATGGATGGTCCGTGTATTTTTTCCACAGAAGTTTAATTCTTCTTTGTAGAAGTCTTATACCGTAGTGAAAATAACTTGCTGAATTATCAAGAGGATGTGGTGCGCAGAATGTATCGGCATACGCAGTAATAGTTAAGTTGTACATAAAGTCTTTGCTCATCCACAGACTTATTCTAATCCGATCTCTAAATATGCGAGAATATAAATAACGTTGCAAAATATAACAAAAATATGGCTTCCTAGTCACTGTAGTGTCGTTCGTAATGAATTGACCAATAACCACCAGAACCAATTATACGTTTGCTCTACAAAATTCCTTCGTAAAGTATCGAAGGAGTCTCGAAATTTCTCTGCAGTTACAGAAATTCAACGTTAGAGTACCGAGCAGAGTAATTACAGGGTTTAACACGGGTGGATACCACATGGGTATTATCACAAATTCAACATATCAATCCTGTATCGAAAATGCGGACACCACGAAGCACTTCGTCTGTTATGCCCCAACATTTGTAAGAACGACATTATGATTATTAGGTTATATAGTTTTTAATATGTTTATACTCTCTTTTTCTCTATGCCTTATCTTCTCAAAATCATTAAGAAAACTAAGATTTCGGATTGGAGTAGCGTAATCGATTGAAGATGCAAAATTTTCTTCTTGATTCGACAATATATCACTATTGACATTAGTGTTTCAAATACGCACGAATAATTGTATTTCTCACACCATTTTTAAAATCAAAATTTTTATGTGCCAATACTTTTTATATTAGGATCAAATTATTGATCGAAATGAGTGCCAAAGTTATTTAAGATTATTCCAAAAAGGCTTACTGATAAAAAGTTTCACATAATAATCATATATTATATATTGTACTCCACACTTAGTACCATCTCATCTCAAATTGCTGTAGTAATATCTTTATAAGGTACTAAGCCTTTACCAAAACCAGTCACAAATTCAAGTCTACTGATATTCCCAGTGAATTTTGCAGAAGACCATCATGATATAACTTACAATACTTTAAAATAAATCAATGACAAATTATTACATTTCATGTTATTCTATTTATTTTCCGCTCTTTACGTATCAAATGCAATATCACTTAACCTCGATTACGTCTGCGGTTTCCCTTACGTCCACCTGCACGACTTTTTCTATTACGGCGTCCAGCTCTGCGGCCATTACGTCTACGTGCACGGCGCCGTCGTGATCCAGTATCATCAGTCTCGTCGAAATTATCACCTTCTTCATTTTCGTCCAAATCATTACCGTTAAAAGCCAAACCATTCGTGTCTTCATCATCTTCGTCCTCAGCACCATTAGCTAAATCATGTCTATCATTGGTATTGCCAACTTCTTTGGTTTCATCCCGATTACGAGTAAGACGTTGTGCAGCTAAGCGAACGGACGTTGCTCCTTGGGAATGTTGACATAGGCATAACAGAGCCAAAAACCCAAAAAAGAGAGCGAATCTAGACATTATTTTTTTACAATCGAATACAATTACACCTCGAGAAGTTCGAATGGAATTTGATACTGTTCCAAGATCTTCCATGAACTTTTATACATAAATTTTTACCTCTGAAGAACCTGTATAGAACGAAATTATATCTCAATTTCACATTTGTTACACTTGAACTAACAAACTTTTACAAATATTAAATATAATATGAAAAAAATTAGGTTACAGTTTTGAAAAGAGTTAAGAAATTGGTAAATTGTAATTTTATGATGTTTACTTAGCTGTTTCAAAGAAAGTTTCATGAGTCTTAAAATTTCTAAAATACTCCATTGCTGCGTTTGTTTTAAAGCAACCACTGTTGCACATATATATGGTATTAAAAATAAATACAAAATTTAGATAGTATTTCTTGGACTGATTAAGAACTGTAACACATATGTGATTCTTCATAAACTATTGCTGCAGTTGTGATATAAAAGTGTCTGTCTAATTAAATTCAGCACTTGGTTTCATTTGACAGTTGAAAAGATAACAATTCATCGAAATAGTTTATAAAAACTGTATTTTTATTAATTAAAAATGATTTTTAAAGTTTTTTCTTTAATCTTTGTTATCAGCTTTGTTGCTAATGCAAATGCTTTGGGCTTTGCCAATAAGTGGTGTAATTTAGGTCTCACCAACTTTTGCCGAACTCCACCTACACCAACTGTACCAACTGCACCAACTATAACAACAACATTTACACCAACAACGATTACATCTCCACCAACGACACCAACCGGCACCACAACCACAATTACTTCTCCTACTGCAACTGGAACTGGAACTGGAACTGGAACAGGAACAGGAACAGGAACTGCAACAGGAACTACAACAGTAACAGCAAGAGCATTACATGATGAATCTGACACAGATGGAGCACGCCGCCGCGCTTTTCGTCGTAATAGAAGAGGAAGAAAAGGAATTCGCCGGGTACCTGCAAGACTTCTTAGACGAGGTTAGGTTATTGACAATACAATTAAAAACTGAATAAATGAAGGAATTATAAACATAGCAAAAAAAAACTGAAATTGTTTTTATTTATTATAGTATTTAAACTGGTTTCATTTGATTTAATTACACTACATAAAAGATTTCATACCTTGATTCGTTTGTTATAATCCTTATGAAAATATTTATGAATTATTTTTAAATGTTCATTTATCGTTAATATAATTATTTAAATTAATTTAATTTAAAAGTTTTCCTAACAAAATGTCTAAATTAATATTATTATATTGAGATTGTTTAATTCTATTAAACCATTATACAAACCATTAAAATCATCGAAGATTAATCACGGTCTCAAAATCATAGCTCTGAACACCGACTTTAGATATAATTTGAAAACATACCCATGCGTTGGGTTTGTTGTATTTTACAAACTCCTTCAATTTTATATTCCATTAACAACAATAACTATAACATATTTTACTGAAAATTTTATACAATATATTTAAAAAATTAATAATAATATACGTGTATATTATATAATATAGTTTTCACATATTTCAACGAATACATCATAGAAACTTTGTTACATTTATGAAACCTAGCCAAACAATCTTAAAGCCATAGCTCTGTCCCCAACACGGACCCGTATCCATATAAACAGATGATTGTGAACCTATACCCTTATGCAATTAGCAGTACACGCATGTAAATTCCAAGCATTTCTAAGAAATCGGAAACTCTAGGAAGTGACATTAAAAACAATTTCGGATATACATTACAAATTATAAACCCCGAAAACAAAATAAAAATTTTATTTGTAATCATTAGCTTTGAAAATACAATATTTAATTTACTTTATACTTCAAAAACTAAAATTTAATGAATAAATCCTAAGCTGATGCAACACCATCACGGACATCCTGCCTAACATGCAACACCCAAATAACACCATTGTTACTAAATGGTGTTGGTACCTGTAGGTCTGGTAACATAAATCCGAACACGTGCCTTTCAAAAACATGCGGAACATTTTCGTGCGGCTTAGGGTAAGGGTACTGTGAGTAAACGACGCCAGTCTCAAAAGTGATTTGCACGATTTCGTTCTAGAAATTAATATATCATATATGCATCTTACTTTGGTCGATCAGTCACTAAAAAAACCGATGAAATTTTACAAATGTAGTATAAGTGAAATATTAAGGAAACAACTGGAAATCGAACCATTTTCAAAGCGAATTATGACTGGCGATGAAAAATCTTATAATTCAGTTAAATACAGTAATGTTCGACGCAAGCGATCATAATCAAAGGACGCTGACCATCCAGAATGGACCTTAAGTCTGAATTGACGGCAAACAAGGTTAGAAGGCATTGTTGCACTCGGTACAATATTGCTCAGACCATTTAAACAAAATAATCAAAGAAAATCTCAACTAATAATATATGCAATATATGCAACAGTTGATTAAAATTATTTTTTAATAAAAAAAATTATTTGAAAATGTGTTGGGGAATATTTTTTGTATTATCCTTTTTTATTTCTATTTTAATTTAACGTAGATTAGTGCAATACCACAATAACCCAATATTATAAATAATAAATCAATTTCTCTTTTACAAATTCAACATGAATAACATATAATAACTAATATTTAAAAAATTAGAAAATTAATATTATTTTTGGAACTCTGCTTTAAAAGACTCTATAATCAGGAAACCTACGTCTACACTGGTTAGACTTTTGATTAGATATTTACAGGCACTGATCATTCGCGGACGGTATGTTTTATACATACCAAACATCAGATATACATATGTTATTCTTATGAACATTCACTCCGGCCATCAGACAGAAAACAAAACTAATCTACATAAACATCCATCTAAAAATGAGTTGCCATTTTTAAAATTAACCTATATACATATATACAATGAAAATAATAATCGTAAATTTAAGATAATACACGTAATGAAATCCTACATGAACAAAATATAATAAATATAAAGTAAAGTTAGCAGAATTAATAATTATACATTTACAACACATAAATAAATATTGGAGAAACCTTATACCTTTGCATACCTTTAAAATATACACAATAATATATATATATATATATATATATATATAAACGCAGTTGCTTAAAATGCTTAAGCTCACCTGAAAAAACTCATTTTTCGAAACTGTGCACTTATTTCGATATTTCGTTTGTTTGTCACACAGCATCATATTAGAGTGAAATTCTAATATGATCATTATAATTATCATCAATTCATTTAAAAACTATGTTGCATATTGAAACCTCATTCAACCCCGCTTACGTCTTTCAAAAAGAAAACAGTGGCATGTGCTGACATATTATAAATGCGATTATGGTATAAAAGTGTCTGTCTAATTGAGCTTAGCACTTGGTTTTGTTCGACACTTGAAAAGATAACAATTCATCAAAATAATTTGTCGGAACGAGTTTACTAATTAAAAATGAGTTTTAAAATTTTTCCTTTAATCGTCGTCATTAGCTTTGTTGTTAATGCAAATGCTTTGGGCTTTGGCAATAAGTTGTGCGCTTTAACCAACTCATGCCAAAATCCTACCACAACCACATCACAACCAACAACTTCTACCACTGGCACAACTCCAACAGCTACTGCTCCCACTTACTCCAGCTATATCACGCCAACTGCAACTACCACTACTCCAACAGCGACTGGGACTGGGACAGGAACTGGAACAGGTACTGGAACTGGGACGGGAACTGGAACAGGAACTGGAACTGGGACAGGAACTGGAAGTGGGACAGGAACTGGAACAGGAACAGGAACATCAAGAGCAACACAAAACGAATCTGATACAGATGGAGCACGTCGTCGCGCATTTCGTCGCAATAAAAGAGGAAGAAAAGGAATTCGTCGGCCACCTGCAAGACGTCTTAGACGTGGTTAGGTTATTGACAATACAATTAAAAACTGAATAAATGAAACAATTAAAAATATAGCAAAACAAAATAAAATTGTTTTTATTTTTATAAAAATTCACTACATAAAAAGTTTACCATCTGCTTTTGTTAGATATAGCCCTTTTAAATATATTTTTGAACTTATTTTTAAAATACACATTTACTGTAAAAATAATTTAAAAGCGATCATCATACGACAAAGCATTATGTTGTATGGATTCCCCCATCATAATGCGGTTTATGTACTTTGCAATGGTCAAACCAAGATTATCATGAAATAGACTTCTAATTTAGCTTTAGTTTCTAGTTTAGTTTTTTTTAATACTAAAATATTATAAATAAAAATGTATCTTCTCCAAAAATATCAACAATGACTTAACATCCTTTTCCGTTGGTTTCAAGTATTTTCTTAGACAAAATTCTATACATTTAGAGGTATCATTTTTCAGTCAAATAACAGAGGTATTACTTAAATACAAGTGATTCGATTCAATAGAACTATAATAAAATTTTCTACATATATGCAAAGAAAAGTGTGTGTATGTAGAAGCCGGTATTAGAAAATCGATTAATAACATAACAGAGATCAACCCAAAATAGTAATCTATGTATTACCCACCCATAACGAAGGAAATCTGAGAACCTTTTTAAAAAAAAACTACTACCTCCATAAAACTGCGCTCATAAAATAACTTACTCAGGATTATTCATAAATCCATCCTACTTACATGGAAGAATTTATTAGCTACTGGAATACATATTGAATTTGTTGCCAGTAAGCATGCTCTGCTGATCTAAACGAAATTTAGAGTTACAATTGCACTTCACTCCAAGTAATCATATAATCAACACCAAAAGATTTGAAAATATTTGTCGTGTTCACTATATAGTCGTATTTTCCCTGTGAACGTTAAAAAATAACCCTGCCGATGTAAGTTATAGATAGGAATGCATGACAATGAAATTATTGAGATAGGATGTCAAAAAGCATATAAACTGCAACTATTCTATTGAATCTCGTAATTATTAAATAATGTCGACAATATCCATAATCACAATAATAATTAGTCGGAATAAATTTTTAATATCCTAGCTGCCATACACCATATAATATTATAAAATGAAAACTCTGGTTTTATGAAATTTCGTCATCAGCTTTCTGCTTATTATTGTTAAATTAAATACATATTTAGTTCACTAAATAGCACTACATCAAAAACAAATACAATTGATAAAATATTAAACAGTTCAAAATTTCTAAATACAGCTGTTTCTTTATACACATACATATATCTACTCTTAATTACTTTTTCAAATGAACAAACATTTGTAATTAACTATAGTAGATGTAAATTATTTATATTTTCATATTCACCAAAACCATAACCTCTTCATGCTGCATCAAAAATTTTAATAAAAACGATTGATTAAATATTTGTGTTTTAGATGCATCTATACGAGATGAATATATATTTAAAGCATCTGGATTCAACGCACTTTTTTCTATTGGATGAAAAGCATTTACTATTCACTAAAGCCTTCTCTTAAAAACAAAAAGTAAAAGATTCTAGTTATTAAAGGTCCGAGTGGTGGAGGCCGTATATCCGTAATATTGATTAGATGGAACACGTGTATAGGCAAACTAACTTTGTCTAAGCTAGATGGCGTGGACAACAAGAAAAACAAGTGAGAAGACAGTGGCTAGTGAAAGGGTAGTATGGGAAAAAAAAATCTAGAATTAAATTTGCAAAGTAGAATAAGATGGAGAACATGACATAGAAAGAGTTTTTCCTCATGGCTTGAAGCAAGTATATGTCAATAGGTTTGTACCTATGCACTTATTGTCAATATATATATAATTAATGATATATGATAAAATCAGAGGAACAATTTCAACACTGTTTAAGAATATATATAAAACTATGGATAAATGTTCGCCGAGTTGATTTCTCATTATTAAAAAATAATAATTTCATATAAAATTTTATAATCACATAAAATATAAACAGTCGCTTCATATTGTTCTAAAGATTAAATGCTTATTATTGAATTGATTAATCCACAATCGAGATTGTGATTAATGGCGGGATAATAATCTGAAAAAAATCCAACCCAAGAAACTGTCGCTAACTGATTTTCTCACATACTTTTCCATTTGTATAAGATGAGTCAGAGTGCTTTTTGTTTGTTCGAAACAGAATGCAACTTCTAATCCCATTATTCAAAGTTGCCTATCATTTATCTGGTCCAGAGAAATTTACTGGAGTAAGAGTTATAAATCTCTTCTGTAAATCAAAGCCTTAGAAAACAGTTGCATTCTGATCTTCTTTTGACAAATAGAATGTTTTCTGTTCAGTTCGTAAGTTATACCAAATTATAGATCAATTAAACCTGATAAAGACGAAATGAAAGCATCAAAAGATACATGTTGCCGAATACTTGTTTTCATGATCACGCAAGTTATATTAGTTTAACGTGCCACTAATTCCAGTTGATCAACTCACTTTATTTAATTATAATTTACAAATAGTGATAGTTACTCTGATGCCGCTTTTGTCTATGCCCAAAGAGAGCTTAATACCCCGTCTAACTAATTCATCCACTTTTCTGTTTCCATTTATATCTTTCTCTTTGATTGTTAATACCTCCACCTGGTATTAGCAATAGACATGAATACAAATTTCCAATACTAAATCCTACGAGAAGACCCCAAAGTCAAATTCTTCGTAGACTTCGGGCTATCTGTGTAAAAGTAACTACTTTTCTTCTTCGCCGCATGAGTGATTTCTATTGACTTTTATTGTTTTAAATTGCTTAACAAATTTGAGTCTTGGAACGCAGTAATCTGTTCTCGCATATAACTACTCTAGTCATTTAGAAAAGCAGAGAGATCCGGTTGCTAATCACAGCATGGCGCCATGCTTTTTAATCTCATAATAAGTTGCTGCAGCTACCTATTTCCCTATCATGTCCTGCGCCAGTAAATTAAGGAGCACGTCCAATAGTTTACTCGGAGAAGTCTTTAAATAACTGAAGATGCAAAGAAAAGCTATTCTTTGAACCTTATACAGAATGTTCAAATAGCAGAATAAGTCTAACTGTGGAAATATAGAGCCAGTGCATAAATTATGCACTACATTAAATACAATCAAACATCGACCTTTTTTTTTGTAAGTATCCAAACCCGAAATTAACCTTTCTTACTCTATCCACAATATTAACTTTTCAGGTAAGCTTCCTATCTGATATAAGACAGTCCAAGATACTTGAAACTGAAGGGACTGTGTTTTTTCTTTAAAAAGAATTTATTCAAGTATATTATGGCTTATTCCATAATATACTATGGCTTATTTGGAACGCAAAATATAAATACACCTTTGTGGTAAGTCGAATTATATAATTTATTTGCAATAGCAATTGCGTATTCATATATAATATTACATATAAAAAAAATTACATACATATATGTAAAATTAATTACAATAACGACTTTTAACTGTTATAAAATAATATTAAACTATGGCAACACTACAAGTCGTTGCTTGTTCCACATTAAAAAAATATAATACGTTCCACATTGTATGACAGCACTATTTACCACACTTGTGTCAAATTCCATCTGCTTTTTGTTTGTTTGTTTTGTTTTTGAATTAATAAGCAAATTTTGAATTTCCGAAGAAATGGAAATAGATTTTAACAAAAGTTTAGAAAAATTACAATGTCAATTTCTCTGCTGTTTTCCGGTAAATAACATTAAGTAATACGTTTGAAAATATACTGATTATTTACTAATATTTTCTTGGATTAAAGGTTCGAATTACCGAATGCAATTACCTGGGATCAACAAGAACAATTGGTTAATAATACAATAGCGCACTCACTTAATCTAAAATTTCCTATAAAAATTAGTTACCAAATAAACTTCATTAAACGTTTGCTACAGATTCTAGAGAAAAATTGTTCTGAAGTACACGATGCAGTTTATGAACGATATTGTAATCTGCAAAAACAGTTACCAAAAGATACAACAGAAAAATATGCTTATAAACACTATTTACTATGCAAACATGATGTCCATTTAACTTTAAAGGAATCGAAAAGTTTTGTAGCTGAAGGAACGACTGGTCTTTGTAGCTGGCAAGCGTCTTTTGCATTATCTGACTTCCTGCTACACAACAAAGAAATGGTAGAAAATAAAGATGTACTTGAATTGGGTGCTGGTACCGGGCTTTGTGGTTTTATACTGACGCAATGTTGCAACACTAGAAAATTTCTCCTTACTGATGGTAGTTTTGAATGCACTGAACTAATGCATAAAAATATTTCACTAAATTTTCCTAATGCACGAGAAACATCTAAAGGATGTTTTGTGCTAGAACATCAGAATTTATCTATTTTGCAACTAGATTGGAAGGAGATCGAAGTATCTGGTTTGATAAATAAAATAAAACCTGCCCTAATACTTGCAGCAGATGTAATATATGATGACACCGTGTTTGAGGACCTTGTAAATGCGATTGATTATGTTTTTAAATATATGAATAACGAAACCAAAATGTTGCTATCTGCTACAGTGAGAAATCAATTCACTTTAAATAAATTTTTAAATTTGTTAGGTGAGAATATAAAGTTTCAATAATCTTTCTCATATTTATCAACAATATTATATTTTAGACAATATGCATTTCAATGTGGAGGAACAGATTATCACAACAATTGAGGAAAGTTATTTATATTGGGATCGTTCAACACCTGTGAGAATATTGTTATTAACAAAAAATTGTTAAAATTCAGATGAAATAGAAAATGTGTTAGTTATAAAATATAAATATAAATAAAATATATTAAAGCTTTATTTTAATTATATAAATAAAATATATATATATATAAAATGAATTACTGTATTTGTCCTGAAAATTAAATTCACTCAAACAATTAAACAACACATATTTTTTATTAAAAATAAAAACAGTTTTATATCAAACATAACACATAAAACAATTATGAATAATTTATCGTAGTTGCCATTAATGAACATCTGATCTGCTTATTGTTGGAATTGTTCCGTCGTTTAAGCACTGCACATTAAGTTGCTCAATTTGATGCTTTTCAAAAATAATTCCCAACAAACCGTACTGTATTTCGAAAAGCGATTTCCTAAAAGTTCTTGGCACTTTCATGCCAACAACCAATGCCAGTAAAGCAGTAATAATTATAAAAACGAAACCCTGAGCCATAACTGTGCTTTCGTCGGTCGAATAAAAGTACGAATTTTTGCCGTTAGATACAAAATAATAATAAACAACACTTGTGCTTATAAGTTTTAACACATACATGCCATATATTATTACCTCTGTGTAACAAAAGTGTGATACCTCAACCATGGCAATTTTTAGATTCGAAAATGACAACCCGAAGAAGAATAATATTAGCCAAATATTAACATGTGATTCAACACTAGTAAATATAATCATACTTATGACTGTCAATATAATCATGCAAAGCTGATTCCCTACAAATAATATTTTTGGGCTAACGAATGCCAAACTCGCAGTGGAGACGATGCTGCCCACAAATATTATCCAAAATATTAAATCAATGCCATTTACTGTGGCAATCTGAACTGCAGTGTTCATGGAGAACCAAAATACAAAATAAATGAACATAGCATAATGAACGGCTTCCGTGAATATCAGTACAAACGTAACATTCCATTGTTGATTCTTAGTTATATAGAAGAATCTAATTCGCTTGATGAGTTCTTGACGTTTATCAAAAATGCTGCCATTGGAATTTGCTATACGGAATTCGTTGTCTATACAATTCTCACAATCGACAGTACCGAAGAAATTTAACACCTTCAACCCGATTAGTATGGCTCCACAGACAACTGCTATTGATAAATACACACCAGCAAAATCCACATAAATTCCTTCGATGCTCTGTCCATCTGTTGTGTTGGGATTGTTGATTATTTCTTTGCTGTATCTTTTACATATTAAGCTAACTGCTGAAGCAATTCCTAAAAGATAAAAACTAAGGCTCGCCGATAAGAATATGGAACGCGTTTTTCTGCCTGGTATTGAATGCAAGTAGCTTAAGCCAGCTAGAAAGGTGAGAGCGTGCGCCAGATAAGATATAAAAGAACCAACATCAGCTAAAAGAAAATGTGAAATTTTATACTAAATAAATTATGCTATTAAAAAGATAATACATAAATTAAGTAAATTGAAAGTTTTTTATTTTGCTATGTGTATACTTAAAATTACCCAGTTTGATAATTATATTTTTTGTATGGATTTTGTATAAAAAAATCTAGTTATTACTGACCATTTTTCGGGTTAATTGTGAAAGCGTAAACGTATTTTAGACAGTTTATTAAATATCAGTTCTATCAAACTTCTAGACAGAATATTTTCAAATCACGGTTTTCTTCACGTAATGGTATCGGATAACGCAACATTATTTACAAGTGATACCTTCAAAAAACGAAAAAGTTAATGAATTCCTTATAAGATATAGAACTACATCGTTGACCGGCGGGAAAGGCCTTTCAGAACTGTATCTTAATCGTCAAATGAGTATTCAGTTAGAAATAATAAAGCCTTTAGCCCAGAAGAAAACAAACGAGAACATTCAAGGAATTCAAACGCTAAAAAAAGGTCAAGGGATCCACGCGATTCATTTCTCAAATAATAAAAGAATTTGGAAAACAGGAAAGGTTCTGAAAAAACTCGGTCGTTTACACTATCTTGTAAAAATTGATTATAGGAACACATTGAAGCGAGACATAAATCAATTACAAAACAGCGCAGTGCAATCAAAGCAAATGGAAGTAACATCAATACATTTCTGTTATACCAACAGTTCAGTCTGACAAATCTTCAGACCATGGGATGACTAACAACGGAAAATTACAGGACTCCAATAGTGAGAGTATCATCCAAGGCGTTGAAAAACCACAAACGTCAAGAAGATCAACCAAAATAAAAACCCGATCGCCATATTTATGAGATTTCGAATAACATGACTACTCTGTAATTGTTAGCTTTATATAAGTGGGACAGACTGTTGTAACCTTTCACTTACCATATTATATGGCTGTAGTGATAAATACAATTTTGACTGGCATTCATGATGAAATGATAGTTTTTTACGATTGTTATAAGAGATATATAATGAGTCCCGCAGGCACCTCAATATAATGTAACAATTGAACAATAAAGGTAGATATAATAGAAGATCTTACTAAAGATTATATGTCTTAGAGTAGATTTTTAGGCGCGATATATTGTCCGATACATAAGGTGTTTTTTTAAAAATATATATATGTTAAAGATAATTAATAATTTAATTATCTTCACTTATGAATGTGTAAAACTTTTAAAGCAAACTATTAAAAAATGGTCTGAGACTTACTATGCTGGGGTGGCAACAAAACTATATGGTAGACCACTTCGTTCAAAAAGACCACTGAGTAACAACAAATTGCATTAAAAAAGTAGCTTAAACCAGTTTTAGTATGTACTATTTATTGAAATTTTCTATAACTGTGAAGGTACGTTTTGTTACCAATACGACGTTTAACTAGAGAGTGGGTACATTATAATACGAGAGTTCTACCCTTTAAACGCACATATCTATTTCAACGAAGTAAAGACACTCAGATACTGCAACAGAAAACCAATATGTCGACATGATGGAATGGGCTGTCTTTAATTCTTACATTGGTGATATCGTACAGATAATAAGTAACCTTTTAATACATAAATATATCCACTATACAGTCATTATAAACATTGATAACACAAAACTTATCAGCTTTAATAGTATTTGCTTGTCGAACTTGGAAAAACATTTGTTCAAAACCAATGAAGATGAAATTTATTCTAAAAAAAACTGCCGATGGAATATCTTACTTTTAAATTTGCCAACTATATATGAAAACAATAACAAACTTAAAAATTCTAGTATATTCAATTATTTTAAATATGAATCCCTTGTTATATGGGTAAGTAATGCTAAAACATTCTACTTTTAAATTAAATATGGCAATAAGAATTTGAATATATATAGCAAAGATAAGCAACTTCGAACAATTTATTGTACAATATAAGTAAGTCTATGAATGCCGAACGGACAGGTGGTGGTGGAGTGAAATTGATAACAAAACAAAATTATCTAAACGTATTAATGTACGCATAAAAATGGTTTATAGAAATATGAGAAGGGTACATAGACGTAGAGAGACATGATATAATACTGGGGAAAGTTCAATGACAATTACTCACCTACATTGGTTGCGAAGAAGAAGCAGCTGGCAAGTATATGGAATGCCCCCGCTGCAAGCAAAATGTGAATATGCCAAAATATAATGCGTCCCTTCATGAATTTCATCATAAACATAGCAATTGCAGCTACGAGACCCCAGCATCCACCCAGTATAATGGGGCCATAAGCTATGACGCCGACATTAGAATTCCGTTCGATTACGAATGATGATATCGTGTAACCAAACACCAAACCGCAAGGCAAAAACATCAGAGACACTTTAATATCAAAAACTCGCAGTTAATTTATTATTCTATTCAAAAATTATAACTTTTTAAGTTTACCAACCCACGGAACTCGGTGCATACTGAAAAAATTTATAAACAAAATTTTCCCACAGCTTGGACATTTTGTGTATCAATTAACTAATATGTGTGTAACACTCAAAGAGGATTCGAAATATCGAATAGATATTTACATATTTTTTAACACATGATAAATTTTTATTTCCAAATAAATTATTTACAGCACTTTTATTCCCTTAAAGATTATTCTAAATTGTATATTTTCACCGATTTGTGTCCGTTGACTAGACAGCCTGCTTTAGTTTTTAGACTGCAATATACTGCCTCGGCTAATTTTGCCAACTGTGTAGACTTCTTTGCTGATAAGTACCGATAATAATTTATTAGATAAGATAATGTACTTCAGCAGTGAAGGCTTACAAATCTTTTAGAAAACGCAATTACGAGTATGAATGTAGGTGAGCTTGCTCAGTCCTAATGTTTACGTCTCTGACTTAGTCATCGTAAAATTGTTATTTGACTTTTTTGATATATCTAGGCATTCACTTGCCAAATCCATCAACTTGCAAGCAATCTTTTCTTTTATCACTCCATTATTGGTATTTACCTTTGGCAAGAGTTTAAATAATTCAATTTCGATTACTATCTTTAAATCGCTTATAGTATTTTATATAGGTACATATGAGTCGCGAAAAGTATTTAAAATTTTATTAATAGTCTTTATTATTAAAGACTATCAGATTATTGTGTTTTGAAGACTCTAATTCTTTAACACAAATGTGTAATCTACCATGAACTACATGGAAGCACTCCAGACATATAGAGAGAAAGATGCAAGTGATTTTCAATAAGTGTCTACGTAGAATTCCCAAAATATGGTGGCCAGATCGAATATCAAATAAACGCTGCTAAACCAAAAAGCAACACAAAATGAGATAATAATGAGAAAGTGGAAGTGGATTACATAGCGAGACAAACGTTGGCAAGGTTGCAAGGGTCGTGCGCCAGCGAAAACGTAGAGAAGAACGGTCGATGGTGACCTAGCTGAACCACGATATACATGAAGCCCTGGCTGATGAAAAAAAAAATGGTAGAAAATATTTCGATGTTGCTCTATAAGTAAACTCTAATTTATTAATCAACTCTAATTAAGTTATATATTATTTTATTAATTTTTTAAAAAGTTTAATTGTTTATAAAATTTTCGAAATAAAAATATTGTAATTAGTAACATTAATTCTCATCCTTTTTCGGATATTGCTGAAATATACGATTACCATCCAACTTTATCTTTGTTACTTCTTCCGGCTGTATGTTGTGTTGTAGAAAATGATTTGTATACCAAATATTTGAATGTTCATTAAGGACCTTCTGCTTTCTAATACCAAGTAGTTTATTTCTTATATCGATAAGTCCAGTTGATTTCGGTAGCAAAACTTTTACCACAAGGATTGCAGCAAGTGTTAAGACCATTTCACTTATGCCCATTCCAATTAACAACGACGTGGAATTATCTGCTTTAGTCTCATACTTTAGCAATTCCGACACGAATAGTTCTAAAGCTAAAAAAATAGCTAAAACCAATTCGGTAAAAAGAAATGGTGTGCATTCCAATATCATTTGAAGAGCTATGCTAGAATAAACACCCATTGATATATAATAAAAGCAAATAAAGACAAAACAGCTCTCCGTCAACTCTTCCTTATAAACGCCCAATATTGCAGCGATTATAGTTATTTTGATCATACCAAACATAAGGAATATAAATTTCGGTGTATAGCGTAATAGTAACAAACCTCCAATACCACAACCGATGGAGTATAGTAAAAATGGTCCATATAAACTTTGTGAGCCCATGTAAGAAGAAGAAGCACTCCATGCTAGTTGTAAAAATGACGAAGTAAACACACAGGTCCTTTCTAAAACTAATACAATTGACGCAGCCACTACATACCATTGCAGATTTCTTTTAAAGTAAAAATCGTCGCGTCCCACAAATAATGCAAATATCGATTTAGCTGGTAGAAAGAGACATTTTTCTTCATTCATTATATTGAATGCAAGATCACAAGATTGTTTATAATTATATACGCCATAATGTTGCAAGACTTCATTAGCCACCAAACCAACAATTATCAATAAAGTCATACCAAGGTATAACCATGCGCTCAGTTTTGGTTCGATTTCGTTGAACACTGTAAAGCCGATGGCTAATCCGGAAAAATAAGCAGTGTTGCCTGTAGCTATGCAAGCAGGACGCAAGCCCCGTTCGTTACTCCGTAAACTTATAAAACTAAAACTCGGTATAAAAATGATAACTGCGCCCACAAAGCCAAAGTAAAAGGATATATCTAGTATATAATATATAAAATTTTATAATTTAAACAAGATTCTACAAGAATTTAAAACTCACCAACATTTTCGGTGACCATAAAGCAACTGCTAATGATGGAGCATATAAGACCATAAAAAATCATAAAAAAATTATCAAAACGATATTGCTTGCTTCTGTATTTGTTAAAACTCCATACACCAGCAAGTAGTAACGCGGCTACTCCACCAACCACTGCATACCAATGGGTCCAAAGATTATCGTAAATGTAAGCAAATTTATAATAATAACCTATAAAGAGGCCATTCACGAATAAGCAGCCTAGAACTTTTAGAAAGAAACATTTTAAATTTCATGTATTCGATAGGCAATAACAAGGCATTTCATACCTAAGAAGTCCGAAAATAAATACATGCTACAACTACTGCAATTTACATTCACTTATTTGCATACTATGCTCTCTGCAGCCACTAAAGAACTAATATTTAACTTGTATTCTAACAATTCTCGAACCTCGAATTCCATAAAATTCCATTTCTTGCTAATTGTAAGATAAGGTAAATAGATAGGTAAATGGAAAAGATTCTCAGTACTCATATGTATTTTCGATGATGAGCGATATCTAAAAAAATAAAAAAAAATATTTCAAATCTCTACTAAATAAAATTTTTAACTTCTTTTTAATAGTTTAGAACCAGCTATATAAATAAAAATATATGTTATACATATATCTGTTCAAACATCTGCTGCTTCTTTAAGTTTAGTTTGTCGCAAAAAGTGAAGCTTGGCAGACGCTTTTTAAAAAATTGTTTTTGATATTAAATTGTAATTTTAATCGATAAGATAAATTCCGACATTGGCACAGATACATAATTAAAATAGATGAAGTTATATACAATGGAATTTCTTAATTATATAGAATGGAATGCATAACCGAATTCTCATTTTAAGTAACTGTTTGAACGTGAAAAACTCATCATTTCTTAGTTCAAATGTAAATAAATTTAAATAAATAAATCAAAGAACAAGCACAATAACAAATAATCCAATATTTAGATGTATTAAACACCAGCTAATATTTTAATTCTTGCACTAATTATTCAAATTATTCATTTTAGCTTGACATAATTAGAAACCGTAGAGGTATGGTAAATGTAAAAATATTTAATTGAAATGCCTAGAAGTTACTGCTTTTTTCTCTAAAGAATTTATTTGGTACAGGAATAAATATACCCAGTCATCTTTCATTTGTAAATAAAAATTCAGAATTTTGTATAAGTCTTCTACTTCATTCTTGGAAAGCTAATGAACAATTTCATTCGCCGAACCCTCATCATCAATATAATATAATGGCTAAGAGTAGCATCGGAAGTTATTTTATTTACTTTACTTTTACATCATTTCAGGATCTTTATCAAAGTTATTCAAGAAAATTAAAGGAATGTCGTCATGTTCGTCCCATTGACCAAATCCAGCTTTTTTAAAGCAGTCCGGTTACCGTTTGCATTTGCATTTGCACAAAAAAGCCACATAAGAAAGAATAAATTGAAACATTTAGTTTGGAAAAGAGACTTCCCTTAACATCAAAATGGATTCATACTTAAAACAAAACGTAACAATACGAGTTATAGAGAAATTCGAGTTATAGAAGTTCGAGTTATGGAAGCAGAATTGTGTGTAATTTGCTCTCTAAAACCCTGTTGCATTATTTTTAGTTCGAGTTATAGAAAATTCGAGTTCTAGAAGTTTGAGTTATGGAAGTTTGACTGTACTTTGTCTAAATTGTATAATTAAAATACGTGGCACAAGAATTTTTCTTTGCTACTCTATACAATTTTTATATATGAACGAATCTTTAAGATTAAAATGATCGGGAAAACGCTTTAGTTTATCAAATCGGCATACTTATGTATATTCAAATCTTCGTATCGAAACCTTACTAATATATATTCACGAGAAGTTTTTAAAACTTTTCTACAAAATTGACTCACATTCAAACACTACATCCGGATGTCACTACAAGCATTTATGCGGATATTAGAATAACACTAAATTAAAAACTAACCGAAATATTGTCAGTAGATTCGGCTAATGAAGTTGCACACAGAAATTAAGGTATTCCGATTACCATCTAGAGCACCAGCAAGAACAAAAAAACATTGAAACATCGAAAAAAAAAAAAAATTTTATGTTTTAGTTTTTACTCATTTTTTCGTAATAAAATCCAATACGGAAATATTGCCTATTTATTTATTTTTCAAAATAAATGTTTTTTGTTTTGTTGATGCACTCAAAATTAAACAGCTATTTTTGCATACTTATATTACTATTGTGAATACTTATACAAATCTCATTGTGAAAAAGTTAAGAAGAAGAAGAAGAGACGAACTATTAAAGTGCAATTTGTAAACAATAAAATTATATTTAATAAATCTTAACTTAATGTTAACAAAATAATGATTTCAATAACTAAAGAAAATGCTAAAAATCATTGTCGTACGTGTTTAATAAAATTAAAGGCTATAACCTCTGAAAAAAGTGAAGATTTACTCAATGGGCTTAATTTGGAGTTTTTGGATGAAGATGAAAATAAAGACAATATTAATATTCAAATAACTACAGAAATGCAGGAAATAATTGAGAAATATATTGCAGAAAAAAGGATACTGGATGTAAATTATCCAGACAACTTATGTTTCATATGTTACAGCAAATTGCAAAGTTTTATTATATTCCGAAGACAGGCGCAAGAATGCGCAGCAAAATTGCATTTAATATTTAATAATTTGGAGTCGACAAGTAACACAACATTTGATATAAAAGAAACAGATGAAAAGTCGAAAATTGGAAGTCCAGATGATATTTACAAATTACTAGTAAGTAATAAAAATATTGTTATTGTTAATTGATACATCAATTTTTCTAATATTGTAGCTTAGAGATTCCTTGATGGAGACAGAATCAATTCTGTTGGATAGCTGCGGTTCGGTAGCGTTAGCTAGTACAACAATACAAGATCCCGATCCTTTTGATACATCAGCTTCAACGCCACTTTCTAAGGTTATCGTTCCAAATAATAACAGTGATACAGAACACCTCTGGCAAGAGTGTGCCGGAAGTGTAGGCAGTAGTTCGCATAACGATTCTTCCAGTGATGAATCAGGTAAAGAAAAGCATAAGTCTGATCACGAAAATGACACTATCAAACAGGAAGAGAAAATTACTCGTTTACGTCCTAGAAGAATTGCATGTGAAACTATAACCCTAAAAATGGAGAAGAAAAAAAGACGCACGAAAAAGGAAATGGAAGAATGGCGACGTTTACAAACTAATAAAGCAGAAAGCAAAATTAAGCGACGAAATAAAGGCACAAAGAATAATTATAAATGTAGATTATGCAATCATTGTTTTGCACATAAGATTACTTTGGATGCGCATATACGCAAAGTGCATGAGGGAAGTAAGCGACCATTTCAATGTGATCGCTGCGACAAGGCTTACACATTTATTGGTGGTTTATACACGCACATAAAAGAGATACATGAGACAGAGGTAAGATCATACGCTTGTGATTATTCTGGCTGTGATCGGATATACACCAGCTTTATAGCCATGCAAAAACACAAACGTCTTAAACACACCGATCTTGAAAGCCAGAAAAAGTATGTATGCGAACAATGTGGTGCCACATTTAATCAAAGTGGAAATCTAAAATACCATCGGAAAACAAAACATCCCACTGAAGCAGAGCAAGCGGAAAAGGAGAAGTGCAAAGAACGTTTCGAATGCACTGTCTGCAATAAACTTTTTCATTCTCGTTACACTTTAAAATATCACACATTACAATTGCATTCAAATGACATGAAATATGAGTGCAACGTTTGTGGGCGACGTATGGCCAAAAAGTTTATGCTCGTGCAGCATATGTTGGTGCATTCAACAGAGAAAATGCCATGCGAACATTGCGGTAAACAGTTCATACGAAAATTTGAACTTGAAGCGCATATACGGGCTGTGCATATGAAACTTAAACCGTTCGAATGTCAATATTGCTCGGAATGTTTTGCATCACGGAAAACTTTAAGACATCACGAATATATACACACGGGTGAAAAACCCTATGTGTGCGATATCTGCGGACAAGCATATCGACAGCAGACTTGCCTCAAAAATCATAGGAAATCACACGAAAAATTAACTCCCTCAGGGCTGCTGGCAGCAAACATAAGTCGGACGTTAATGAACACATTACTGGCGCCACAACAACCCACAGTTTCAAATGCTAATTTTAACTGATACTTTATGCGTACACTGGGCTAAATCTTTACAATAACGTACAACTTCGTTTCTATTAATATCGAAACGACTTTACTCAAAACGAAAAACTTCACTTAATACAAGGAAATAGCATGAAATAGACAAAGGTAGTAAATCTTTAATATAAATCCGACTTGATTTATAAGGGACAAGTATTGCGTTTTTGGAACTTCTATATAAATTTTTTTTATACTATTGTATATTTATTTATTAAATCTATTCTTAAGCAGATAACAATAAGTTATAAAATCGTATTCTACCATAAACAACAACTGCTTTTTTGTGTCTGATAAGGAACTTAACTTCTATTAAGAAGCAGGATGAGCGTTCTTCCAATCTGATTTGGTACATTTATTCCGTAGCAATTTTTATAAAGTATTTTTCTTTTAAGTGATTATTTTAACACCTGTGCAATGAAAAAGATATAATATGCTATGGAAAAACGTTATAATATATTAATAGTACCCATAATAGATGTACGATATATTATGCATTACGGCAAGGAAGTAATTCCTCTCATCAGATTTTATTTTATTTTGCCATTTCTTATACTCAATGTAATATAATCATAAACTACTTATTGTATATATAATTTTGTTTTATAATTTTGAATAAAAGACAGGAAAATAATGTAAAATTTTAACTTGTTGCTATTTTTATTTTGTCTTTCTCTGCACTGCCAATATTTTTCATCTCATTGTCGATATAAACGTCTAGATCTTGTAATGGCTTGTAATAGTAGTGAACCAATTGGGAGCCAGCCATCATGGAAAGCATAGCACAAGTAAAGAATTTTATATACTGACCCCAACCAACTCCAGCAGGCATTGTGCTATAGCTTCAAAGTTAAACGGTTTCCTTTGATGACTGCTGTTGAATCGAATGTAATTTATCTTCAACCAAATTTTTGGCTTGTCGTCTTTTAAATGTTCGATCTAATAAAACAAATAACTCGCTAAGTTAAAGTTTTAAAAATTCAAAAATTATTTCTCTTAATGAAGCACTTCATTAGACGACTGTCAATCATCTACGACTAATTCAATGAAATGCTACAGTACGAGAGTTTCTGATTACGCAAAGCTCTTACAAAAGTTGGTTTCTCCCACAGTCCAATTTATCATGGAAAACTCCAAACCCGCACCAAGGAAGAAGAAGAGTGGTAAAAATCTATATATGCCAAAACGTTTTTTACCCGGCCAGTTGTCCAACACACGTTTAATGGATGTGCTGTAGAAGGGCATTTCTCATCAAGTAAACAAAACCTTATTGCCGATTCTAGTTACGTAATGAAAAACGATTTTTTAACAAATAATAATAACAACAAATAGATACCTTTTTAGCCACAATCTAATTATTTAATTAACATTCTCCTTTTGATTCCTAAATAAAGCAAGTCCAATTGGAAGTAATTTGGAAATTTTTTGTCAATATTGAACAGCTGATTTCACCCGTCGCTTGCGCTTACAAGGTGTTTATACTCAAAAAAATTAATTTACTAACAACTAAAAAGATCGTGTGCGAGTTCGAGTAAATTGAGGTAAAATAAATTGAAATTTCCTAGGGACTTCTTGCACTGCAATTATGTTAATATTTATTTATTTATTTATTGCACTTATTTACTATTATTGGTTAAAAGTCATCAAATTTATTTATTTATTTATTAAACATCTTATAAAATTTTCACAATGGTAACACCTAATTTACCTAATTTCAATCGAATTTACCCTACTTTAAATTCTGGTAAATAACAACATTCGCTGTTATAGCGACACTATTTCTCTATTACTATTTTCCTCAATTTACTCGAACTCGGACACGACCTAGAAAGCAATAATTTTTTTTGCAGTAGAAGAAAACGTCCAAAATAAAAATCATCTTCTGAGATATACCTAAATACACTAAAACTACATATTAAAGATATAAATTATGGCCAGTGGACCCAATGCTAAGGAGTTCATTTTTGTTGTCAAAGAATGAAAATAAAAATATAAATCATAAAAATATAAATCAATAAAAATAATTTTAAGAACTGCAAATATTATTTAACAGACACTAATGCATTTGATGTGTATCTTAAATAGAACAAAATGTATCAAAATTCAAATCAGAATAAAGATGTCAATAGGTTTAATATTTAGCAAACTACATTTATCTAAACCAGAAACTAAGGAAACTACTACGAAAATGCAAAAAGCTATCTCAAGTGAAGGTATTAAGGTTCTTGTGCAAAATTACGTTATCTATGCTACGAAGACACTACATTCTGTGCTATGGTGAATAGAATCGGTTATAGAGTAGATCAATGGAGTACTGGTTGTCACCATACTACGATAATGGGCAAGATATTGCAGATGCCTTAACTTCATGGTTTCAATCCATTCAAGGAAAAATTAATAAAGTTGAAAAACTTTGAAAAAAGAATCATGACATTAGGTAAAGACATTTCTCGAGTTTAGCATAGTTTAAATATAATATTATGTTAATTTTGTTGCGTATTTTCAAAACATAGGAAAGCTTTTTAAAGTATGATGCACCCTGTTTTTTTTTTGGCATCATGTTTGTTCTTTCCCGCCAGAATAACTATAAAATTTTCTTGCGGCAAACGTTAAATATACTTTTCCAATCGTTTTACTCCAAAAAAATGAGTACAGAAATTATTCCAAACAATGGTCCTGGAACAGTACCCAGTGATGAAAGGAACATAGAAATCAAAGCACGCGTAGGAGACGATGAAGAATTTAAACGTCGCGTCGATATTGCACGCAAACTTACCGGCACTGAAGGCGAATTGATAGTACAGAAAGACGTCTTCTTTAATTCACAAAGTGGGCGCTTGAAGCTTCGTTACTTACAGCCACCAGCTTGTTCGCAGTTGGTCTATTACGATCGACCAGATGTAGCAGGACCAAAGTTGTCCAAGTACAATAAAATAGAAACAAATGAACCAGAGGTACTGGAGAAAATATTAACGAATAGCAATGGAGCGAAAGGGATTTTAGAAAAAACACGCTATCTCTTTATGCATAATCACACACGTATCCACATGGATAAAGTGAAAAATTTGGGCAATTTTATGGAATTCGAAGTATGTTTGAAGCCGGAACAAACCATTTCAGAAGGACAGGCCGTGGCTGATGAACTGATGAAAGTATTTGGTATTGAAGAGAAAGATTTAATGACTGGCGCATATTTTGATGAAATACAGAAATAATTATAAAAATAAATACTTAATAATATATTTTGTTTGTCTTTTTATTGAGTCCATGTAAATGTGGAAGACTATCTAAGTCAATGTTTAGAAAACTACACTTAACAGATAATGATTGAGTCGCGAAAAAAATATTAAGTGTTAGTATATGTTTAGAATCATTAAATTTACATATGGAATTACAACAGCTCCATGCTTCTAAATATATATCAGGGTTTAATAAATATTTATGGGGCTTCAAAAGGCAGTAGAACGTAAATTCATCCCTCTCTATATTTGTAATACTATTATACTGCGAAGGATTTCAATAGAAATTTTTATATTCAAATTATTCATTATTGGATTTCTAAAAAATCTATGTCTTAGTTGAAGTGGCACCAAAGCTAACTAATTCCATTATTGAGCAGTTCTTTGCTGCTCTATACAAATAGTAAGTAATTAATTCTGGAACCGCTTTCGCATTACTTCTGGGAGAGTCTCTTTTGTATTGGCATTTCAAGCCACACTCTTGTGATTTTCGATCTGCGTCCAGACCACCCCATTTTCAACGCATTTTCTTGGTGTCTGCACTATTTATTATAGAATACTCTTTGTTTCATGATATATTTGTTGTAGTTTCATGATGCTTAATTAAGCATCTGTTCGAATGGCTTCAATTCTATATTCTGATATTCATATTCTTATCACTAAAAACATAGACACATAGATACATTTCTGCTCTTTATTTTACATTTAAAATATATTTAATACTAATTTGACAATATAATGTGAGTTTAAATAAAAATTTCATTACAGAATGATAATATACATTTTGTATACATATATATATATATAAATTAAACTTAATATAACCTGTATGAAACACAATTACAAGCGCAGACTATTTCTTAACTACCTTCCTCATTTCGTTACCAAAATTTTTACAATTTACATAATTTTCGTTCGATTTATATAATTTAAAGCTAGCTTTCAAAGCATTTCACTCTTTTCATAGGAGCTACGCATAAAACAAAAACACATTGACGTGTAGACGAGTATATTCAACAATAAAAAAATAAATGCATTCAGTTTTATTACAAAAAAAAAAAAAATAAAATTACAAATTTTTAAAATAACAAAAAATTCAACATGTGATTTTGTTATTATTAGTGCTGTTCATTTTCGAATATTTCGAACTTTCCAAATAGTCCGAATTAAATCACCTGCAAACAATATGAGAATTTTAAGTTATTCAACTCAAAATTGAACCGGAAAGTTGTATAGCACACCAATATTTTAAATATTCAAATACTATTTGAAGTGAAACGGACATCCGAATCTTTTCATAAGATGATGCATATCCGGATTTTCGCATCTGAACAATATTCAAATATGAAACAGATTAGGTCTGTTCCACGAGCTACTCGTAGTAAAACTCAAGTAAAACACAAGTACAAACTGAGAGCGTAACACAAATAAACTGCCAAATTACGCTCTTTACACAGATTTCCATGGAACAGCTTTGTGTGAAGACTGTGCCGCGCACCATCAACACAAATTTTACTTGAAATAAAATGTACGAGTAAAGTTTGTGTAGCATTTTCAAATTTCGACTGGGATGTTACGCTCTCTGAGATGCTCTCATTTACTCGAAAATTAGCTGGTGGAACGCACTTGTGTATACACAGTGTTACTCAAAGTTACTACGAGTAGCTCGTGGCACAGACCCATTATTCGATTAATACGAACAGCACTTTTTTGCTTGAAACGGTTTTGTTGATAACAAAGTTACTGATACTGATACTGATTACGATATATAAAATACAGCAGTGTTTAGTACATAAATGTTTACGTTACATTAACTTGGATAAAATAAATTATTTAACATTGCAATAAATTCAAAAATATTTGTTTCGTGCTATTAAGTCAAAATATATTATTACACAGTTTGTTTAATTAAAGGCAGTTTAATATAAAATAAGTCAGTAGTTAATAAACGACAACGTCCAAAACAAAATTAAACGTCTAAAATATCAAATGGCAAATGGCAAAAGTACAACAGTCTGAATTATTTTATATTATACCACACTTAAGACACCATTTTTGATTATAGTGGTATAAAAGGAATAAAAGAGGGTAGGATATTCTATGTTAGTAGATCATTTAAATCATTTACGTAGTCGCATTGGCAAAAGTCTTTCGTATTTTGCCATCAACTTAGATGCACAAATGTTATTTATGCTCAGAATATGAGATCATAACATTGGCTTTTGGTGAGCGATCCTTAGCAGTAAGATCCAATTAAACTTATTGACGGTGTATTAGATGCTGGATCAGGGGCAGATATGGGTTTCCAATACCACCAGTTGTAGCTTACTGTAAAAATAAAATATATTAATATTATTTAAATATGCATTACTCTATTTATATAAAAAATGATTTGATTTATATATAATTCAATTTTTATAGAAATTCCGTGATATAGTACATTGTTTTGTGATGAAAATTGAAAAAACTTTATAGAGATATTAAATATATTTTCAACACTCGACTATTAAAGTCATTTGTTGTTTTTCATTTCAAATTAATATGTTTTGTAGTATTATCTGATCGTAAGTAAATGATAATAAAATAAAACATAATCATTTCACTGTTAGAACAGATTTAATTGTGATAACCCATAAGGTGGATTAGCATAAGGTTGGATAAAGGAAGTGGGAAAGCCATAGGGAAAGACATGGGGATTATTTGAGAATAAAAGTGAATTAAGGATGAGTGAGGTTTAAGCTGAAACTACCCTGGGTAAGGCGGAGAAACCGCTTCTATACAATACATCCAAATATTCGAATACAAGTAAATGCAATCTGCTCGAATATCGTAATGTTAAAACACTTAAGATACTAGTATATAAATGTAGTTATAACGAAGCTCATTAGGTGTTTGATTCATTACTCGTTCGTGGAAAATGCGATAGAAGACGTCCGCAAACTTTGGGGGGATGGTTTAAGTAACGAACCGCGTAAACGCACTCAGTACAACAAATTGGTGGCAGTTATATCAAGACTAAGCTGACTGGTGCAGAACAACCAGTCGCAGCTAAGAACGAAAGCTGCCTTGTAAATTATTATAGATAAATATATATATTAAATATTTGTCTATGGTACTTTCAATTAAAGTTCTCATTTCAAGAGCAATATTAGGTTATCACAATAAATGGCTCTTAGACATAGTTACATCCACTTCCTGCTTTTAAAGCATGTACATTTCTATATTTTTAGTATGGAAAGTATAGTTTTAAATTCCTCATTTTGTTAGCATGGATCAACCTATACTATCCTATCCTTGGTACAACAACAAAAAGTAACGATTTTTCAATTAAAATTAATATTTCCAAAAAATTTGAATGTAAATAACAAACTTAATTAAAAAAAATTATATCAAATAAAATATAATGAAATTTAAAACTTTCACTTACACACAAATGACTGCGGCAGTCGCATTGATAGCGTGCGGCACTTGTGTCTGCATTCACTTGTTGGACGTAAGATGATGAAACGGGACCCTTGCGCCTGTTGCACATAAACATTGGCACATTCCGTTTCAGGTAAAGTATATGCCGACGCTTTGGCCGTGTCAATTGACATGTACCGCTCTAGTGCGATGCCAGTATTTGGAAGACGAGTCGATGCAAATAATGGGCGCAACAAACGTGCAGGCATCATACGATTGCAGCGCCATAAGTGATGTGCCTGCAATGGCTCTTGACTACTTGGACGTATTTCTGATTCTGTATGTAGTGAGCTATTAAATTGACTAAATAGTTCTTCAAGATTCGTTACTTCGCGATTGGTGGACTGAACGCGATAAGCATCACGTTGGAATATTTCATAGTTGCTTGCGTAAATATTGTATAAGTCCTGCACTTCAATTGGTGTTTGATTGATCTGTAATGGTTTCATAAAATTTATAATTAAATAGAATATTACATTAAATAGAATGTCTTACTTTGAATAGAAAAGGCACTAACTCTAAGGGTGTGATTTCTTCTTTAACATTATTACTACTCTGATCAATATTATCATGCGTAGATTTTGGTTTATTATATTTTGCCTCAGTTAGATCAATAACACCTTGCACATCCGCGCACTGTCTACAACTGACATCGTCTACTTGGAAGAATGGGTTAGACATTAGGCAGGATTCGTCGTAAAATTCAGTTAGGCGTGGAAAACGCTGTATTAGCGGCAATGTCAAGCGTCGCCACATACGCATCCCGGGGTAGACGAATGAATCCATCCGTGTCTCTTTCAATGTTGACGTTGCTTCATGACGATATATAAAGAGAATAGAGAACGCTAACAAAATGTAGAACAACCAGTACAGTATCTGCCGACGCCTATCGAGCAAATGTTTGAGCAACTCAGTTTTCAAGAAGGAGATCCGATGTGAATTATTTATATCTTTTACATTCAATTCGTTGATTTCGCTGCGTTGTGTGAAGTATTGAAATATTAAATAATTATCAAAGTAGAATGGCCGCACCCGATACGACTGTTCGGCAAGAGTGCGCAATAAATTCAATGCATTTGTGTATTTTTGCAAAATTTGAGTTCGATTGTGGTGTGGATGGCCGACAGGTGGAAAGTTCACGTCAACGTTTACATCCATTTTGGGAAGGCTTCATAAAATTTGTGCTTCTATGCAGAACTTCTGTATTTTTTCATTTGGCACTTTTTGTTTTTGTCTTTGTCTCGAGAGCAAAACTAAAAATTCTTCGTAGTTTGAATATGTTTAACTTCAAATATCATTTTTTATACAACTACACAATTTATAACACTAAACGACTGCTTTTACTGATTAAAAATATATGCAAGAATGTTTAAACATATCTTTTATCTTTCCACTTTTTGTTTTTTTTTAATTTATTTTAGTTATCGCTTTCCGTCATTTCTTTTTGACATTTATGAGAAAATCGAATTTTAGCGTCAAACATCAGTAGCTGTCAAACTGTAAATTATACCAGTTGGTATAATATTATTATAATTTTTAGTCATATTATTATATTTAGTGTATATTATACTAAAAATTATTATTTATTGTTCATAAAAGAGTTTACACAATTATATTTCAACTGAATTTCATTTTACTATCAATTGCAATAATGAATAAATAGAACAAAAATTTTTGTTGAATAATACAAATTTTCACGATTTACCTTAATTTTTTTCTGTGTACCGGCTTGAAATTACATTTGAGATTTATTTTTCACAATTGTCAGATGTCGAGCAGCATTTGATTAACAATAAAAATTGATAAGAGGCAGTAACAGATATTTATGAATTTTAGTACATATTTGTAATAAATTAGTAAAAAAAAATATGCGTCTACGGATATTGCCATGGTTGGTATTATTCGCGCTTCTGAACGTAATTATTGGCCAAGAGCACCACAGTGAAGATACAAAAAATACCAACGAAGAATTTCATGAGGAATTATATGTACGTCCTTTAGCCACTGGTTATATTAATAGTTATTTTCAATTTACAACACGTTGGCACTATGGAGATAAAAACAACTGTAAGTATATGGCATAAAAACATATGTACAACACTTATATATAAATTTCATATTTAGTGCACAACACAAATTTGATACCGCGTTCAATAGCAGAAACCTTAATACGGTTTGATGTGAAAGAGTTACATATAAGGTTAACTCAGGGTGTTTGGCGCTACGAATCATGGGGCTATCCCATTGTCGATGCAGCTCCTGGTGCCGAGGCTTGGGCCTGGTTCAGCGCTCCAAATTTAACAGCTGCAGGTGTAGATGAACAGTGGACGCGTTTGGCTAGTACATTTTCAGGCATCTTATGTGCATCTCTAAATTTCATTGATAAAACAAATACTGTTGAGCCCAAATACAGTTTCCGTCCGCAGTTTGCAGCTGGTATTTCAAGGGATATACCAAAATATGTGCGATATGCCAGCTTACCACGTGAGATTGTTTGTACTGAGAATTTGACACCATGGAAAAAGTTATTGCCCTGCAACAGCAAGCATGGATTTGCATCGCTTTTGAATTCTGGATATGTACATAACACTAACTACCATTCTTTGGGTATTAAAGTTCGTACTATTTGCGAAAAATTCGCAGAAAATTGCATCTTGGAGTTTACAGAGACATTCGATTTTGTTTACGACGCAAAAATTTTGGGCAACAACGATTTCTCCATTAGAAGACTATTCGGCCAAGGCCTTAATGGACATTGCGCACTCGCGAAGACAAGTAAAATTTATGTAAACTTAGACGATCGTTATAGTTTAGCACCACAACCGGACTTTAGTGTGTGGTCTTTACGTGGTGGAGCGCGTACAAATTATGGCGTATATGATATTAAACGAATTGCAGATAATAATTTATTTAATATTGCATGGGTGAGAAACACCAATCAGAGTGGTATTGCCATGCCGCACCTGCCACCACTGTATGCACATCGTTACATATTAGGAAGAGGCCAAGAAAATGGTAAAATTGTAACAGAAATATCAAATGATCACTATGGACCAATCTCTATAGTGCTACAAGAAAACATACCTTGGTATGTGCCATCCTATATGCACACACTAAAAGTAATATCCAGTTCCGATAAACAGAACTTCGTCGAAATACAACCCAAGATTGTACATTTTATACCAGGTGTCCAACGAACTCGTCCCTATCATTTAGAAATTGCATTCGAAATTCCAGCACAGAGTACAGTGAAAGTATCTTTTGAATTTGATTACATATTTCTGAAATGGTTAGAATATCCACCAGATGCAAATCATGGTCACTATTTGGGTTCCGCAGTCATTACTACACAATTACCAGTTGGACGTAACTATACTGCTATACCGCTGGAAGGATATCTCTTTGCAGACTCATTTAATGCGTCACGTTTATCTTATTATCTAGAAGTGCGAACAGAAACCATAATATTATCACTACCTACACCTGATTTTAGCATGCCTTATAATGTGATTTGTTTAGCTTGCACTGTTGTTGCATTGGCTTTTGGACCAATACATAGTGTCGCCACTAAGCGCATTGTAGTAGAAAGAAAGGATGCGTCATCAGGAACATTAGCACAACGATTAATTAATAAAGTCTTTAGGCGTAAAAATCAAATTGATGAGACACACGAGGAACAAGAAGAAGATCCAATAATAGATACTCCGCCAACTGCTGACGTTGATGCACTCCACGAAAAGAATGAATAGCAGAAAAGCTGTCCTTACTAGTCTATGTAACTGATAAGTATTATATGTTACTTTTTTTACCTTATAATTTTTTATTAAAAAATTAAATTGACATTAACATTATAAATGTGTTTTCAATTTTATAATAATAATAATAATAAGGTTCATGTTTTGAACTTATCAAGCAGGTTAAACTTCGGTTAAGATTTTATTTTTCAATACAAATTATATGAGCACGGTATATCTCTCCTCTTAGGAGCCGTTATTTTAATGGTTTGTTTGTTTAATTAAATTTTATTTCTGAGTAGGAACAATGTACAGAATTTAACGATTACAGAGGGCCGTGTTTTGATTGAAAGTAGAGCATTTATATAGTAAAAGAACTAATTGCGTTATTTAGTGACAGTAGAGCCTTCTTTTATGTCCAAATAGTACATCGACACGGTATTATTACCACACATCAGCACAAGAAAGTTATTTTTGTAAGATATATACAACTTCTTATCCGTCAGAATAATTAATTCGTAGACTTTCATAATGGAATCTCTCCATCTTAACAGGCCTGAGCAATTACAAATGAAGTCTTCAGGTGTTTCTTTTCCCTGTTCTGTATAGCAATTTCTGCACTTTTTGTTAAAAGGTATACCCAATTTTTAGGCGTGACCAACCACTGCCCTATAAGTTCTAACTGAAGTTTTATCGCTTCGATAACAACTATGTGCGGTATCAGTTTCGATCTTGGTTAATTGTAACTTGCTTTATTATATATAAATACATGATTAAGCTTTTTATATGATGATAGCTTAACAATTATCTACTCTACTTATTAGAATTAAGTAAAGCAATGTTGGAAAGCATTTCAATAGTTGATATAACGACCTGTTACTATATTTAGAGGTAATTTTATGCTTGTTGTTCAAATCTAGTTAAAAAATTTTTTCCTGGAAAAAAGGAAATTTTACTACAATATTCAAAATAACTTGGCAAAACGTATCAAATCTTTATATGCTAAAATTAAAAATTTATCTTAATGGATGATCAATTTTATAACCATAATTAAACTACACACAAATTTAATCCGTTAAATAATAATAATATACTATTAAAGTTTCATTACTTTTGACTTGAACTTCTTTCTGAAAATTATCTCGATAAACTTAAAGTAGGTCTGTACCACGAGCTACTCGTAGTAACTTTAAGTAACACTGAGTACACACAACTGCGTTTCACCAGCTAATTTTCGAGTAAATGAGAGCATCTGAGAGAGCGTAACATCCCTGTCGAAATTTGAAAATGCTAGACAGACTTTACTCGTACATTTTATTTCAAGTAAAATTTGTGTTGATGTGTAGATCAGCTGTTTTGGTTTGAATTTAAATTTTTGTATTGTTTATTTGCGCGGCACTGGTGTTCTCACTAGACTTTACGCAAAGCTGTTCCATGAAACAGCTGTGTAAAGAGCATAATTTAGCACTTTATTTGTGTTACGCTCTCAGTTTGTACTTTACTTGTGTTTTACTACGTGGATCGTGGAATAGACCTAATATTATATTTGCTTATTATATATTAATGTTATTATTATTATGTTGAGGCTAGTTGAGTCAGTGCACTTGAGCACTTTTACTCTCTATTAACTGCGAGGTTTCTTCATAACCCCTCTCTACGTCTTGACTGGATTATTGTTTATCACTTCATCAGACTAAGCAATAATCTGCATAACTCACCGAAGAACCTGAGACCATTCTGAGATTCGACAACATGGTGTTGGTAAGTCTGCTGATATAATAATATTTAATATGGTGATCATATCAAATATAAAAAATATTTATTAAATAAATAATATTTATGATTATTTTGAATATTAATATTTAGAATGTTATTATTAATAATTTAATGATAAAATCAAAAAAGTTTAGGAAATTTGGGTAATCCAATTGCAACACTGCGGACTGAAAGTCACTGCTCGGGAAAAGCGCGCATGCAAATACAGAAGCAATGTATACTATTCGTGAAGTGTTAGCATAGAATCGGCACAGAAAATATTGTGGATTATTTTTTGCAAAAAATTAAAATATTAGAGTGCGTGTTAATCTTATAAGAAAGCAAATCTTAAGAAACTTTTATTAAAACTTATATTAAAAAAGTTGAAAGAAGATGGCAAATGAAAGAAAGATTTTTTATCAGCATTTATAAAAAATTAATAAATGGTGGTTAAAATATTTAGAAAGAATAACTGTTAATAAATAATAATTTTAATTCAATTTGCGCTCGTGTATACTTTTTCGTAAAGAATTTACTTTGTGCAGAAAAGTATCTAACTAAATTATTTATGTAATTTTGACAATTTTTGTTATTTATGATGTTTGACAGAACATTATCATAATTTTCTTAATTTATTCTTTAGTTGTACTATACACACTTTTTAACAATTCACCGGCGGTTACTATTTAATAAGCTATTTATATATTTGTCTCTTTCGTGTAAACGCATCATAAAAAAATAAAAAAGTTTTTCGGTTGTATGTGCAAATTTTTAGTGAAGTGCTTGCTGTTGTTATTAGAAAACTAAATTTTTATGTTGTTTCAATGTTTATAGAATATAAAAGAAACGTAGAAATAACTTGAGTGTAGAAGTGTAGAAAGAGCTTTGAATTCTTTTGAACGCTACAATATATATAAAATTGTAACAGTGATTAAATTATTGATTTCTGGTCCTGTACTGCTGACACCTTTCGGTACCTGCATTTTATAAAACACTAGCCAGGATCAGTGAAAACAAATATTATTAACAAAATCAAAAACAAAAACAAAACAGACATTGGACTACATATATGTTGGCACATTGGTAAGGCATCTTCTTACCAATGTTTTCGTTAATACAAATGAAATTTCGGGCACTATTAGTTCTGTTATCAAAGATATGGACGTGTATCTGTTACATGTTCAATCGTCAAGTGCGTGCTGTAAGTATATATTTTTCTTTTGTTTATACACTTTTGCTTAATGACGCTCTGCGCTCTGAGCTCTGAGGGCGAAAAACCGTCTATATTTGAGCACAGAAATAATTAATTTACAGTCATAATTAAACTTTTATTAAACTGAAAAATAATAACACTCTAAGATTGGCAACGCTTATAAATGTTTTTGTCTAAATTAAAGGCCTTTAATTAATTAATGTCTATACTAAGTATAAGCAAATTACTTTAAAAAAATGCAACAAGTTTGTTAACTAAGGACTCCCATTTTCCCTTAAAACATACTAATCGATATTAATTAAAAATATTTATAACGATATTTATACCGATATCTCTAGTATTAGCATTGGCCAGATTCTTGTCTTTATAAATGCCTCTGGCTAGCTCTAGCTTGACCTTCTCTCTGCTACCCACTATAACGAGATTTTGTAGAGTCAAAACGGCTTTTTTTAGCTAATTGAAGAGGACTCGTTCCTCCTTCCACTTCAACTAACTAAATATTTATGAGCAAATAATTATTTAATACCAAGCAACTGCTCTGGAGTGAAATTATTTGCTTGATTCGGTTTAACTCTAAAGAAGCGATCATTTCAATTTTACTTTCTAATATAAATAATTAAACAGAAAATTCTGCATTTCGTTTCATTATAGCAGCGTAACAAAGCTGCGAGCAGCATTTCTTATTACTTTCTACACTTTATCAATTTTATAGATATACTAGTATATAATTACTGATAAAACAAATAAATTTTACGAATAATAGCTTAAATGAGTGATAAGCGAGAAGCTTTGAATAAACATTGTTTCGCTTCTATTTTTTTTTTGTTTTTGCTTTGTACTTAACTAAATAGTCTTTACTGATAGCCATGTTTCTATGAAGAACAATGACCATGCAAATTATTTACTCAATATTTCCCCTGATGTTTAATGTTTATGGCATGGCATTGGCGTTGCTACTATGACATGACATTCGTTAACATCCTTAAGTGCTTCCATTTAAAGCAAGAGTGTTATATTTTTTGGTATTATTTTATCGAACACTGATATGAACTACCTCAGTATATACAGTACCAACCAGTGAAGTATGAGCTGTTTCCACTGTCTCCAGTATCGCGGCACCGACTTAGTTTAGTCCAACGCAAAATACTTGTGCTTGATTTGGATGAGACGTTAATACACTCACATCATAATGCCATGCCCAGGATGACTGTTAAGCCAGGTACGCCGCATGATTTTACAGTTAAAGTGACGATCGATCGATATCCAGTACGTTTCTTTGTGCACAAAAGACCACATGTCGACTTTTTTTTGGATGTTGTAAGTATACAGATTATTAAATCGTTGAATCATTACTTATTATACTAATATATTAATCTCAATTCTTTTAGGTATCGCAATGGTATGATTTGGTGGTATTTACCGCTAGCATGGAAATATATGGCGCTGCCGTAGCCGAAAAACTAGATAATGGTCGTAATATTTTACGAAAACGTTACTATAGACAGCATTGTACGCCAGATTTTGGTTCATACACCAAAGATTTATCAGCAATATGTAGCGACTTAAATAGAGTACATGATACCATATATATATATATATAACTTTTGTCCAGCCATTACTAATATATATTTTTTCTTCATAAATATAGATTTTCATAATTGATAATTCTCCTGGTGCTTATCGTTGCTTTCCTAACAATGCGATACCAATAAAAAGTTGGTTTTCTGATCCAATGGATGTTGCGTTATTATCACTGCTTCCTATGCTAGATGCGCTTAGATTTACAAATGATGTGCGCTCAGTGTTATCACGAAATCTACATTTACACCGTTTGTGGTAGCAGGTGAGTTTTAACCTGTTGGTTTTATTAGTAAAGAAGACGACGTGGATCAATTACAACTTGCAATTGAGATATTAGAAAAAAGAAAAATTTATTTAAATTTATTTAGATGTAACGTGGTAACGTGTCACTGTTATACACAAAAGATTGATTAAGGGTCTCTCTCAGTCTCAGAAATTTTTTGTGAATTTACTTTAAACATAAAAACAAAAATTGATCAAGTAGACTTATTTCGAAATGCATCGAATATAAATGACACCTCCTTCGATGACACAAAACGACAACAAATTCTGTAGTTTTCTCAATTCAAATGGATAAGAAATCAGATTAATCACTAATTACTTAATAGAACATGTTAATATTAATCCTCAAAGATCAGTAGTTACTTAAAAATACAGGAAATTTGTGAAATGCAAGAAACGAGTCTATAGGATTCCTTCCTTTTCAACTCCTCTAACCACTATCCACCCACTTTTCTACTCATATGGTCGTCTTGTGTATCCTTTCATGTTATCAGCTTACAGGTCCCAGCGGTTTACAATAACAATAATTGTAGTATCTTCAACCAATAGATATGGCTCAGTGTATCAATATCTCTAATTTATTCTAGTTAGTTTACGGGAAAACTCTCTCCAGGAATAGCACAATAGAAAGTTATGCACTATTTTTCCTTCTAATAGTGACAGTTATAATAATAGTGTCGTCAGATGGCACTTTTTGCTCTCCTTATCTTTTTTGGTTCTGTTAACTAGCTTTTCCGCTTTTGTTTATTCTAATATATAATTGAACTGACAGACAGCAGGATTAATAATAAAATTATTATATTTTTTAAATTCTTATATTTTCGTATAGCATAAATTCGACACGCAAATAATATATATTTATTCTTGTTTTATTGCAGATTTGCAAATTGAACATTTGGTGCTGTGACACTTGAACGAATTTTGTTTTTTTGATTATTAAATTTCTAAATTAAATTAAAGTTCTAAATTTATTTATTACCATTTTTGACATGAAACCTTAAATTTTGACTCAAGCACTGAAAAGAAGTGTTCTATTTTTTAAAACATCGTTATTATTATGTTTTATAAAACAAAATCTATAACTATTATATACATATAAATTTAAAAAATTAAATTTTATATACATAAATTGGTAGTGGTTATTTTTTTATACTTTCGTTGATTAAAAACACAAAAACAAAAGCAAAAAGAAAAAAATTAAATTAAATTAAAAAAGTAAATAAATTATCCTGTAAAAATAATGAAGAACAAAACAAACAAATCATAATATTATATCTAATTATATATATGATTTAAATTGTTTATGTGTTATCACATGTTATCACAAATTGTACAAATAATTGTACGATAATTTTTAATATTAAACGTATAGTGTATAATTTGTTTAATAAATTTTCTTAACTTATATTTAGTTATATAAATATTTAAATTTTTTTAAGAAATGCACATTTAGTTTAAAAATCTAAAATCTAAAATTATATCGATTAGAAGAAGTATTTAATATAAACAATCTAAATGACTTTGTTATATTTTGTTGCATTTTTCATTAAATGACTAATGCAAATAAACACCTATAATATAATGAATATCCTGTTTGTAATTAATAGTAATTAATTTAAACTATAAAATGTAATAATATGCATATTAAAAATGCATTAGTTTGTAAGTTATAACAATAAGTACAAGAATTGGAGCAATGAAAATGTGCTTTTTTTTAGCATGCTTCCTTCAATTGATCTGAAAATAGAAACATATGTGTATATATATATGTAGCTCTTTATATTGAATATGTATATTATATAACAATGTTTACATTTCTCAAAAAAATAGAAAAAATGTTACATTGTAAGACTTCCTTGATTTAAGCTTCCTAACAGTTAATTTCTTTTGTTTTTTTTTTCGAAATGCAGTTGAGAAAGTATATTTCTAACAGATTCTGCCATTGTTAGTTAATCAGACGATAACCGTTAAGTATATTTTAATAAATTGCACCTAAAAATAATTTAACGGATGGAAGAGGTGTGCTTGAAACTTTAAAGAAGTTATTCGTTTTAATTCAAACTATCAATTATTCACTAATGGCAGATTTCACAGTCGTAAATCAAGTCTCAAAATTAAATTAAGTATAAATTAAGTCAACAAAGTTAGTGACTTAAGTCAATATTGAGACTTAAATTACGATTGTGAAAACGGCTCTCAGTGTATTAGATTTCTAGTTGACAGAAAGCTATGAGTGAATTATGCATCATTTTAATCTGCGGTGTTTAAAAAAAAGTTCGAGATATTTTCGAACTATATATACATCATTTACAAGCAACAACATTACATATACAAATTTTTTGTTAATTTATAAAATTTTATAAAGAAATAACATTTTGTTATGTAAACTTTTTGCGTACTTAATTTTTGATCACTTCTACTTACTAAATAAAGCAGATCAATAGATTTTATAAATCCGTAATGCATTTTCAATATCTCTATATGCAGATTACTTGTTTCGTTTAATTTCACTAATTTTTCTGATTCATTACAAATGCTTAAATAAATCCAAAACTTTTTTTTTTACTGAAAAATAAAATACATTCTCAACACGAAAAGAATTTCACCACAGTGTCTCATCTCAAACAAGTAATTTTATTTAAAAGGGCACTTCAACTTTTTCGTCACAATCAAATCTTCATTTTCACCAAACCTATTAAATGTTTTTGGTAAATTATTTTTAAAGAAAATAAACAAAGTTTATTTAATGTATTTTGATAATTGTACTTTTATCGTTTTAAGCAATATTTTTTTATATAGTATTTTCAAAACGGTTTTTTTTTAAATCAAAATAATTTGTTACCAAAAATATTGCATAAGACAAATAGGTTAAATTAATGAATTTCCTATTCATGATTGAGGCTTTAGATAAAAATATTTATTTATACATACAATAAATCAGGAAGTTCAAGATAATTAGTTGTAGATATTATTTAAAGATTGAGCAGTTTTGGCTTCCCACCAAAAGTTGGTACTTTGGTGCAAAAATAAATTTAATTAATTAAGAGATGTGCTCTTGGATTGTTGTATTTAGTTATTTTAATGAGAGTCGAATGACAATGTTTGGAATGGTTATATATAATACTCTGTAAAATAATTTAAATTAAGGCTACAAATTTTTGTTATATATAAAATTGTAATAAATATTGTAGAAAAATTTAAATAAAAACTAAAGCAGAATAGTCTCTTTTTTTGTTATTTATTTATAAATTAAGTCCAGGTATGTACTCTTTCTCTTCCTGAACTAATTCACGAAATTTAATTTATGAATTATATTATAAAGAATGTCACTCTGTGTAAACGTATGGAGTTAATTATGCTATGACATGCAGGCGAACGACATTAACGGGAATGCCATTAATGCCAGTTTTTTGAATTTATTTTTTTTTAATTCTTAATAATTTGACGTTTTGATTGAGGTAAATATGAAAACATTTATTTATTATAAATACACAATAAAAAATTTAAACTATGATAGTATCATAGAAAGTATTATAGTATCACAGAAGGTATGATATAAAATACTTCCGTATCTATCATATAAAAGTTATACATGAAATTGATTATATCCTTAATGAATACCCCGTAACAGATCAGAACTATAAAAACTATGTAAGAAACTTATGTCTGATACTACAAAGAAAAATGGTTTGTTAATATAATGTAATATTATATATACAGCGTAATATAATTGGTATATTTTAAAAATGTTTATTTTTTGAAAAGATAATTATTATTAATATTTAATTTTTAATTTAATGCTCAGTGAAACTCAGTTTCTATAGTTACCATTATTTCAATTTCAAATTTTTAGCGATAATTTGTTAGTTATTTTCAAAGTCTAGCCAGTATAGCTACACTGGCAACTTTGAACATAATTGAAATTTACCAAAAAAATTTCAATTAAATTACAGTCTGCATTGGGTAACCTTTGGCAAGAATTTTTTAGTTACATATGAATATTTTTGTTCTCAGAAAAAATTCGAAAATAACATTCGAAATAGCATTCGAACATAAAAATTTTGCTAAACTGTAGTTAGTGTAGACGCTCAGGTACGGTTACAAGATTAAGATTTTGGCAATTTCAAACTAATTTGCTTTTATTCATATTGTATTATTTTAAGACAGTCTTAATATAAATTAAGACAGTGTGGATACAGTAAATTCGTGAACTGAATGTGTTTTTGTGCTATAAAAGTGAGAACAGTCTTAACAGTAAGTTTAAAATTTTGTTTATTTTGCTATGATCTTACTTATTTCCACATATGTGTAGTTTCCTGAAATTGTACATCACATGATGTACTCTGTTCAAGGGAACCATAAGTTTTATATCTATATATAAAAAAGTTAATCTGTGCTCTATAATTAGTTATATATATTGTTTGTAAATTGCAACAATTAAGATTGAAAATGTAGCAAAAATGGCAAAACACCACGGACTGACGGACTGATGTGAAGTCGTAGACTGTTGTCAAAATAAAAGTTAATAAATTGTAGGAATACATTTTATAATAGGTTTATTTTTTTGAGATGAATGCCCCAATAGAACAACTACTGGTTGCTTAAAAATAACTTTGCATCACTGACCAAAATCAGAAAACATATGACAAGAAAAAAAAAATTTGAACAAATTTGTGGTTGATAAATTCATGTAAATACAAAAATAGCTGCAGATAATTTTATAAAATAGCTTTTTTGTATATATTTATATAAAATGAATGACATAAAAAGTTATTGGTGACCAATTTATATTCTATTTGAATTTGTATAAAAGTATATATAATATTTTATAGGTTTTACCCATAATAACGGAGAAAAATAGTGAAATAAGTAGGAACAAATAGAGCGGCGCATTGATCAAATGTTTGAAATTTTGTATAACTCCAGTTCTTCAGAAGGCAATACCAGATCGTTAATAAATTCGTGCATATAATTTTCAAACTTCTAGCATTACTGGTAAATGTTAAATGTTTTGTACATAAATAAATTGTTTAACATTTTTTAATAAACACACACATAGAAATTAAAAATTCAAAATAATACACCCAATGTGTAAGATAAAAATTAACTCAACAAATTTGTCACAATTAGTCTTGTTTATATTATAAAATCCGTCAAAATGTGCACATTTATATAATATAATAATATATAATATAAACAATAATATGTTTATGTATAGGGATATAACGTTATCATTTAAACAGTTGTCAAACTTTATTGCAAGTAAAACTCATGCCTGTCAATCGTTTTATGTTTGATGTATACTTTCACTTATTAAAGTCCATTGCCATATGTTTGTGATTTGTGCCAACGCTGGCATCACTGTTCAGTTATTATTTTCATAGCATTTAATTAACAAATTATTATTAGGAGCATAGAACTAGAATAAAATGTTATGAAGCAGAAGAAAAAAATAAGTGTATATAAACAAATATATATAAATAAATTTATATATAAATTCATTTTGGAACTTAAATATTGAACTAAGTAATACAATATATATTATTATATATAAATGCAGTTATAATAACTCAAGTACAATTTCAGGTGCTGAAGAAAATAAAAATTATCACAACAAAATAACTAAGCATGCGGACGAAATATAATAATAACTAAAAAAAAAATATTTCATTATAATAGCAAAAATTATGAATTGAAAAATATAAGTATTTTTACAGTTGAATTGAGGCGTTTGTTCAAAATATTTATGTATTATTTTAACTGAAATAACATTTTTATTTTTTTAACAGTTAAGTTATAAGTGAAAATATTAAACAACTTTATAGATTTAAAAGGTAAAATATTTTATCACACAAAATGAAGAAATTTTATGCTTTTTCGGTCTTTACGATTTGTCAATATTTATGTTTTTTTTAATAGGCAAGGAGAAATGTCAGATGTTTTTGCTTTAATATAATCATACGAAATATTTTAATCAGATCCTTCTTCATAGGACTGAATACAATAATTGATGCAAAAACTTCTTAACAATATTATTGAACTTCTTTTAATTTTCACTTTAATGTTATATGTTTTATGTTTCATACGTGTATATATATATGCAATCAAATATTAACAAACTCGTTTTTTTAGATAAATAACAATGGAAGTAGTACCTAAGAAACGCCTTGGAAGACCTCCTAAGGCAACGCAAATAAAATGTAATCCCAATGTTACAGATGTTACAGAATCCGCCACAGAAATAACCACTACAAGTTTAGCAGTAGGTGCCAGCAACACAAATATCAGCGGTAGTAACGAATGTCGTAGAAGTTCACGCCAAAAAAAAATCAAACCTGATGTCCTTAACTTTCTGAAAAAAATTCCAAAACAACACAAAATACAAATTGAAGCAAGAATTGATTCAAATGCACCAACTCAAAAAGGTAAAGATGTTGCCGGATTGGAGACCAATACAGAGGGTAATTTTAACGACTTAACAAAAAATAAAAAAAACTTTTTGGAAAAATCTGATATATTTAGAAGAATTTCCTTAACAGACCAACAGAACAAAAATTTAAATGCTACTCAATGCATTTCTGATATATCCTCCTTACCCGCGCAAGCTCGTCGTTTAAGTCGCACACAAGAGTTTTTCAATGCAACAATGATGAAATCTAAGCAGAACTCAAGTTTGATTGTAACGAAAATGGAAAGTATACCCAGTACCACAAATAATGCCTGCACTACCAACACAAATCCAAATTTTGTACATGTCACAGCAAATCCTACATTAAACAAGCAAAAACAATCTGGGCTATCATTGAATGTTCACCCACATAAACAACGAACGCAGTCCGTAACTTGTACCGAATCAACTGAGCCAAAACGTAGAGGACGCCCACCTAAAAAAAAAAATGAAGTATCTATTTCTGATTCAACGGTTCCGAGCAAAGGGTCGTCTCCTATAATCAGTGATTTGTTGATAGAAAATGCAGAGGATCAGAAATGTTTAGCAAACCAAGTAAAGTCTTTACCATCCATTAATATTTCTGAAAATAAAAATAACATGTACACAAATTTAAATAAAAATATTAAAGAAAATAAGATAGATATTGAAGAGAATCAAACTAATGATGATAACCAAAATATTTCTACAACATCATTTATAAAAAATATTAAAAAGGAGGAAGAATATGTAAAAATTGATGAAGATAAAACATATCAGAATGAGGTTTTGGAAATTCTGTCATCAGATGATGAAACAAATGAAACATCTCTTTCATCAATAGATAATTTGTGTAACAAGGCCCCTACACAAAATGAATCAAAACAAAGGAACTTTGCAGCTGTGTCCTTTCTGCAGGAAAGTCCAAATTTGGATGATGAAATAAATGAACCTGAGTTCATTGTGGCAGCTGTTGAAGAAATCATATGTGAATCACACCCACTTGAAGAAGATTCCGTTTCCGTATATAATGATAAAAAGTTTGATGAGGTGGTTGAAATACATAGTTCATTCAATTCTTTGGAAAATTTATCTACAGAAATGGTTGAAACTCAAACTGTGTGTAAAAAAACGAGAAGAGCAAGCATTGAAATATCTGATAACAGTAGTAAATCACTGTTGTCATATGATAGTATTTGCGAGAAAGATGTATCTCAATCGAGTACCGATATTTCAAACAACCTCAGTAAACAGAAATCATCTAAGAAAAGAGTTTCTAAATACAAGCGATCAACACGTTCAAAAAGTAAACAAACGAAAGAAGATCTCGACATAGACAATAATGCTAGTGCAGATAAGATCGATTGTAGTGAGCTTGTCATAGAAACCTATTCACAGAATCAATTAATTGATGTAGCAGCCGTAGAAGAGATTGAAACTAGTACCTGCGAGGAAAATTTGATAGACAAATCGTTATACCACCATACAATTGAAGAATTCAATACTAATGTAAATGCAAATTCTACTCTACAGAGTAGTATGAATTTCGAGAATGTTATATCAATTGATAGTTTGCCAACAGATAATATAACAATAAGTGTGATGGATCCTAATACTGATCAGCTAATAGAAGTGGGTCAAAGTGATAAAGAAGACGACTGTGAAGTGGTGCAATATGAACAGGAAAAGGGCCCTGAAAATCAAATAGATGAAAAAATTAAAGAAAAGGATCAAACTGGACATTCCAAAATCGCGGAGCAAAAGTTTGAAAATAAAAAATATATTACACTACCTTTAAAGAAACAGAAAATGAAGTTGCAAGATATTGACAGCATAGAAAATAGTAAGTTTATATACACCGTTTCTGCGGAAAACTCCGAGCCTCAAAAATCAAAAATGAATATCGAGGACAATAGTTTGGTGTATACCGAAATTAAAAAGAAAGTTAATGACGACGATTCTCAATGTGAAAAGGACAACGTTTATATTGTAGAGGTTCAAAAATCTGAATCTGAAACTTTTGGTAGTACTCCGAATACTAAAAACTCTGAGCAAGAAACTGATGCACAGCACGTAATTCAAACTTTTATACCTGAAACAAGTGTACAAACAACTAATCCGAATAAAATAGAAAACAGTTCAGATAGTACTGAAATAGCAAATATTTACGAAACGTTAGAATTATCTGAAATAAATAAAGATACAACAGATATATTGATTGCCAATCAAATTGAAATAGAAGCAGTAAAAGATGTTATCGAGAAGCCGCATGAGGCAATAGAATGCACTGATAACAACACATTAATCATTGAAAAGCAAAAAAAGTTTGATAAAACGGTTAAAGAGGTCATATGCACTAATTTAGAAAAGATAAATATTCCAGAAGAGAATATTAATAAAACAGAATTACACCAACGAGATCAGGTAACTGAAGTGACAGACGAACAAACAGTTTCAAAGATAAATGAAAAAAAAATTGAAAACATAATAGAAATCTTCGTAAAAGGAAGCGAAGTACCAAATCCATCTGAGGATAATATTTTAAGTGATAAAAATAGTACGCTTAAAAAAGTAGAACAACAAGATAATGCTTTATTTGTTCAAACTGCATTCATAGAGTCAAGCACGTGTTCCTTAAACTCTGAAAAATTCTCAATTGAAAACACTTTCAGTTCCGATAACCTCACCAATTCAGATCTATTGTCCGAAATTGTAGAAAAAACTACAGTAAATACTCAGAAAAATGTACAAATTGAAGAGAACTTAAAAATCGTTGAGGTAACCAAATTGAATAGGAGCAAAAACAAATTGTCATCTTCTCGTTCCAAAAGTCGAAGGTTTACTACCACGAAACTATCGATCGATGACGAACAAATGTCAACCACTCCGTCTCAATCGCTAGCAGGTACTGTAAAAGAAAGCAATAATGCAACTGTAGGCACGACATCCACATCTAATGATAATGAAGATAGAACTGATAACGAAGTTGTGTCTATAACACCACTACAGGATAATAAAGATGATAATAAAGAGAAAAATATAGCAACAATAAAATCTGATGATAATAACGAGACTACTATTATATCAATTATATCATTAGATAATGACGAGAATAATATAAAACCAATAAATTGTAATGATAATGATGTGAGGACTATATCACCTTTAGGATCTAATCATAATGAAAAAGTGAGTAGCAAAATAACTAGAAAAACAATTGAAAAAACCTGTTCGCCTGTTTCTTTGGAAGAAGAGGATCTCGAAACTATTGCTAAAGTACAATCTTGTGAAAAACTAAAAGATCAGAATACAAAATCAGAATTAGGTGCAGAAACACAAGTTCTGCAATATGAAAAGAATCCATCTACTAACAATAAACAGAGTACGGAGACTATTATTCCTAAAGGCCGCCGTGGTCGTAAAGCCAAGAATAAAAGTGTTCTTCCAGAAAGCCATTCACAATCAGACTTAGGTTCAACATGTGATTTATCCGCTTTAGAAACTGATAGTAAAAATATAAATATTAAAACAAAAAATAATGAGCCAGCCAGCGAAAGTAGCGAAAGTACAGACTCATTGCAAAAATCTGCAAAGAATTCTAATAAGAAAAAAACTGCCAAACCATCAACTAAAAATGTTAATAGTAATAAAATTGAGAAGAAACATCAATATTCTCAAGAGCAAACTAAAAATGAAGTTGATGAATCATTTTCTACTCGAACTAACAATATAGCTGATAGCTCTGAAAGTTCTTCCAGTATCGATATAAAGAACCCAAAGACAGCCAAAAGCGTTTCTCCTAGAATTAAAAGTACGATTGGAAATGTCGGTAATAATAAAGACGATATGCCAAGCAGGTCATCCCCAGTAAGTACAGAAAAGAAAAATAAAACCAAAGCATCAAAAACTTCATCAAATAAGGAGAAAATATCAAAAATAAAAAGTGACGTCAGTGAAACTTCTACGGTTGATGACATTGAACTAAATAAATCAGTGAAAAGCAAAGGCAGGAGAAAGAAATTTATAGAAGAATTGGCTTTAGTTGCCAATAAAAATGTGAACACCGCTCCTGTTGAGGATAGCATAAAACATAACGCCATTGAAGATAAAAGAAATGATGTAAAAAGTTTAGGCCACTCAAATAGTACCAGTCAAAATGTGAGTACTCTTTCGCAAAGTACAAAGAAAGACTGCACAGAGGATGAAATCTCGGATCCGTTCAAAAATATTGCCGAATTCATTGAAATGGGCGTAAGTCTTCTTAAAAAAAAACCATCAGAAACTTTTGAGGAAGACGATAACTACAGAATTGTGACAATAGATGATCACCATCAACCAGAAAAAAATAATGTAACAAGGTCGTCAACGGATATAGACTTAGATGAAAATAAAAAAAACATCCAAGGTGACAGTAATGAATCATCATCTATTAGAAGTGAAACCAAATCAAAAGAGGACGACATCGCTCCATCTTTACAAGCGGAAAATCAACTTTTAGAAATTGAAACAAATACCGTGACAACAAAAGAAACGCAAACAGCAACTAATGAACAATCCATATTCACAGGTCATGAGTATTCCATTGAGGGTGAAATATCCGCAAATATTGCAAATTACCCTCTAATACAGGACTCAATACCTAGTGTTGAATCAACTAATATTAATGACGACTTGCCATTTTCGTTAAACTTACATGCTTTTGAAACTCCCGCTGATACACCAATAGTAACGCCTTCAACTAGTCCTCCGCCCGAAACTTCTATATCGGATTTGACGCCAGAGGAACTGTTAGGTGTGCGCCGCTCACACCGCATAAAACAAATTACTAAAGCACCTAAATCTCTTGTAGGTCGAGGTTTAGTGCGTGACAAAGAACGGTTGTCTATGAAAGATTATGTTGAAGTGAAGTCTCGTTACAGCATTGAAGATCATCGTAACAGTTTAGCTGACGTTACAGAAGTAAACGCTAAATTTCTTAAATCAATGGAGCAACGTTTGAGCAATTTTACAGTTATAGAAGAAAATGAATATAAATGCGAGCGCGTTATAAGTAGAGAGGCACGCAAAATGCAATGTGACTGCTTTTTAACGCCGGAAGATATAGAAAGAGGAGAATGGGCGTGTGGAGAAGACTGTTTAAATCGATTACTAATGATAGAATGTGGACCAGATTGTAACGTTGGTGAACGCTGTACTAACAAGAGATTTCAAAAAATCTTAAGCGCACCATGTCGAGTTTTTCGTACAGAAAAAAAAGGTTTCGGCATAATGGCAGATGTGGAGATCCTCCCAGGAGAGTTTATATTGGAATATGTTGGTGAGGTAATTGATGGCGAAGAATTTGACCGAAGGCGAGATTTATATTCCCTAGATAAAAACCGTCATTACTATTTTATGGCTTTGAGGAGTGATACCATTATAGATGCTACTATCAAAGGCAACATATCAAGATTTATTAACCATTCCTGTGACCCCAACGCTGAAACACAGAAATGGACAGTAAATGGTGAAGTGCGCGTAGGGTTTTTCAGCAGAAAGTCAATAATGCCCGGCGAAGAAATAACTTTTGATTATCAATACGAACGTTATGGAAGGGAAGCTCAACGTTGCTTTTGCGAAGCACCTACATGTCGCGGTTGGATTGGACAAGAACCTACGTCAGATGAAGGCGAACAAACATACGGTACTGATGATGAGAGCTCTGAGAGTGAGACTGAAAGTATTGAGGATCCAATGGAAGCGCAAAAGAAACTAGAAATGGCTGCTGTTACAGCTAATTTGCTACCGATTATTGATGATTCAAAAGGAAAGCTTTATAATAAACTGAAGGACACTGAAGAAGCTAAACTCAAACTTAAAAATCTGCTCAATAAAGTTAAGAGAAATAAACAACAGCAACAGAAGAAACAACGTAAAAATCGTTCTACAAAAGTTGATAATATATCACCTGTAAAAGCACGCTCATTGGAAGACCCGGATATTGAAGATGAAGTTAATTTTTTGAGAAATTGTGGACTCAAGAACCAGCCGGACACATTGAGACTATCACGATTAATGGTTCGTGCGAAACTTGTACAAACCCGATTGGACCTATTGAAAATATTGACAATAGGAGAGCTACCATGCCGTCGACTGTTCTTAGATTATCATGGATTACGTCTATTACATGGTTGGATGAGTGAAAATGGTAGCAATATGACAATGCGTTTGGCATTACTAGAAACATTAGAAAGCTTACCTATTGTTAATAAAACACCCTTAACTGACAGTAAGGTTTTGCAGACAGTACGTAATTGGAGTAATATGACTAGCATAAGCTCCACTAATTCTCAGTCACCAAACGATGAATCCTCCTCATCTAGCGGTAATTCGCAACAAGCTCCTGTAGATCAAGTACCAAAGGAACTACAGAAATTAGCTGAAAAACTGACTACGAGCTGGGAAAATTTACCGGAAATTTTTCGTATACCAAAGCGTGAGCGTATCGAACAAATGAAAGTGCATGAAAGGGAAGCCGATTTACAATATGCAAATGAAGCACAAAGCAGTAACTCGAATCGAGATCGGTACCAAAATGATCGGTTTGGTAAACGTTTCGCAAAACCATCTGGTTTCAAAGAAGTGCGCCACATATCCACTTTGGGCAGTGGTCAACAAATAGAGCCGCGCAAACGAATTCATTTTGATACAAATAATCAAATAGGAAACAGTGAGAATACTAAACACCTTTCGAAAAAAGAACGTCGAGAAATGTTTGAAGCTAAGGTCGGTTATAATACAAGTTCAATTTTAATCAATTTTAAACTTTTTAAACTTTTTTCAATAAATTTTAGATGGCACGTAGTGCTGAGGTAAAACGGTTGAACGACTTTGAAACGAAATGCAAATTTTTCGGTTTAGATCCAAAAGTGACCATAGCAAATGAAATGCCATTTTGTGTTAATCCGCATACGGGACAATGGTATAACGTGAAACAGGAACCTATTTATACCCCTCCAAATTTTTTAGCTGTGCAACCATTACCAAAGTCGACAAATTTAGATGATTATGAACTGCCTCCAGCTACTTTAAATTTGAAGCCGGGATGGAAAGTAGCAGTATCCAACCAAGGGAAAATATATTACTATAACGTGAAGACACGTAAATCACAGTGGACTCCGCCAACAGATTTCGATTACTATATTCAAAATATGTGCAGCGATAGTAGCGAGTGCACCAGCGATTCGGATGGAGCAGAAAAGAATGACGAGCTTTTAAGTAAGATTTGGATAAGTTTGTGATTTTATTATTAATATGTTAAAATATCTAAACAATGTTCTGCTCTGTTCTCTTTCATAGATAAAACCCCGGAACAACTTAAAATGCTTATATTACAAAGAACTGAAGAACGCAGGAAGGAAAGGTTAAAGACATTAGTAGGACAGCGAGAAATAAGCGTAAGCGTGAAGTTTTATAACTTTATATATATGGTTTACCCATCTCATCCCTCAAAGCTTAAAGCATAATTTATGAATAGCGACATAAGTTAAAAAATTGTTAAATACATTTTTCATTCAGTATCTTAGCCAGGATTGTGCCAAGACGAGGCCACACTAGAAAATAGTTTTTATCGAAGTTTTTTTTGCAGTTCACTAAATTAATCACAATAAAAATGTTCGGTTTTCCTTTTTAATTGCAGCCGCGTCGCGATGAAGATCGTATATACAATCAGGCAGAAATGCGAAAGTACAAAGAAAATAAAGAAAAAATAAGAAAGCGAAAGGAAGAAATACGGAGAAAACGTGCCACTAAATCAAGTTCGGATGCATTACCTAGTACTTCACAGAAAAGCGATAGCACTGAGGTGGGTGCGATCAAAATACAAGACTACTTGTTGTCATCAGACGAGGAAGAAAATATTAAGGCGGAGTGCAACAATAGTCCATTGCTGGACAAAATCGTACAAGGCGACAAAATAGTAGACGAACTGGACGCATTAAAAACTAAGCGTATTTTAAAACGTCCTCTGCCACCACATCGTGATCTGAGTTTGCAAAAAAGTTCAAACAGTCAATCAAGTCACGACGATTCAAGACAAGATATTAAAAAAAGAAAAGTCGAAAAGAAAACGTAATTATTTTACAGATTCCCTAGAGTGCATTCTATTAATTTTAATTTTTCAATTGTGTGTGTATATAGAAAAAAATACAGATATAACTCGGATGAACCGAAATACCGGAAATTACGTGACAAATTCCGTAATGAAATTGTCAACATTATAGCTCAGCACTTGAAACCGTATTATTCCGAGTCTTGTAAACAGGGACGTATTTGTAACAGTGAGGATTACATGCATTTAGCTAGAAAGGTATTTCACTACACATTTAATTATTCTTATATTCTACCTATTCATTGTATATACTTTAAAGCTTACACACTTTGTGATGATAAAGGAAATCAAATATTGCGAGTCCGTGGGGCAAGTGTTGGCGGTAACCGATTCTGTCATTAACAAGTCAAGAGAATTCATAAAGAAATACATGAGTAAATATGGCGAGACATATATTAGGCGTGAGGATGATCCTGAATTTAAGGATATAAAAATTTCCACTTCAGTTTAAAAAGTTTTTTTTATTTTATTTTTCACTTACTTTATACTTTAAAATTTTTGCATGTTTATATATTATAAACACTTAGAAAACAACAATAATTATGAGAAACAAACACATTTTAAATACATATTCCAGAAAAATGTATTTCTATGCTAATAAACATACATTAATTAGCCAAAATTTCTAAAATCATCTTTACTCAATTCTTTTATTTATTAATATTTATACAGACATATATTGTAGTTAAAAATGATTTATATATAATTAATAAGCTTTTTTTTACAATATTGAAGAATATATAAACATATTATGAGAATAATAATGTTAACTTCTTAAAGCCAAATTCTTTTTCTAGTCTATTTTAGTAATAAATTAATAAAAACATATATAATTTATACAATTTGTACGAATTGATGAACGATCTGTGTATATGCTTGTGTGTAAACTAGTGTCTGAGTTTTTGATTCATTCAAATTTCCCAATTGTTTATAAAGGTTTTTATATGAAACTATGTTTAAAATTCCAATATATATTTAAAGTTTGATTAAGTTATGTTATTCTGGTTGCCGGAAGCGCTCATAGGCATCTGACGATAACATATAGAGTCTCATGTCATAGTATTATGTTTACTATGTTTTTTTCATGTGTATTGAATGAGAACAAAAGGGAATGGATGACTTAGTTTGATCTGCGACTTCATTTACTTTGATTCCTGTGAGCTCAGTAATCTATGGTTTTAATTTTGTAAGGATAACGTATGCAGTTATTTATGATAGCGCAGATAAGTTTATTGATATATTAAAGTTTTTTACCGCTTCGATTGTAGATTACTATCTGTATATATTAAAAATTTGCTGTTGCATTTTACGTGGACTGTAGTAAGTTTGATGACCAGATTCGATAGCTCTAGTCGTAGCCTCGAGTACATGAGAAGTAAATTACTCACCCTATTGTTGTTGTAGACAGATGCGTACTTGAAAACAAATACATGACAGTTTGACAATACACTGTGCAATGGAAGGTATAAAAGGAAGTGATATGGTAGGATGGGAATAAGGATGTGGAAATAGGTAGTAGAGTTATTAAAACTGACCTGAGTTCAGGTTAAGGTTCCAAATGTGTTTAGGTCTACGTAACGGAACTATTCATCCTCACTAACAACCAACAAACTAAAGTCAGTAAAATTAATGAACGGTAGTTTTAACATTTGTTGTACTTTTATTACTTTCTCTCGCCTGAAATGTTCATAGAATCCTATTAAAAATAAATTTTAAAAAAAACTTAACTTATCCTGGAACAATGTAAACTGAAGGTACCAGTTCAACTACTTCTATTGCCTCATAACAAAGGACGGAAGAACTGATATGGATGTGTGAAATAGCATAAATAAAATACGTCACGGTTTCTAAAAATTTTATACGAATTCGACGTATCAATATTATATTTCGCAGGACATCGTTTGTGGAGGGAGCAAGTTATATAGGCTTAATTATTATGCCTAGTGGTAGATATTGACTTGTTTTTTTAAATATGATTATCTTGATTTGTAACGAAAGATAAAAGCATACGTCACTAAACTTATAGCTAATACTTATGGAGTTCTCGAAATTCATTACGTCTGTTGAAATCGACTATATTTAAAGGAAGAACATAATATTGAAAATGGCAATGAAATCAGTGCGACTTAAGATAATCTACACAAATGGTAGAAGCAGATATGCTGAAAGACAAATCCATATTAAATAATGCAAATAAGAAGGAATTGCAGGTAAATAGCAGCATTGTGATATTCTAGTTTTTTAGATTAGATTCTAGTTTTTTAGATATGTAGTTTGATAACTTTTTTTATTAAAACACTATTAAAATGTTTGAAACACACAAATTGGTTCATAAAAATACAGAACAATACATACAATATATTAGAACTTCACATCAATTTTTTTTTTAATTTGTTACATTATATATATACACATTATTATACATATATATATAACGTAAATATATGTAGATAATAAAAATTAAATCCACAGCCTTTATTATAACAAGCGCCACTGACAAGAAATAATTAATACTTTTTAGAGCTATAAAATCTGATGAAATATCAAACGTAAATCAGGGCCGATTTACATTCACCAAATATGAATGAAAACTAAATATATGAAAATGCATTGTTTTTATATGAAAATTACATATAACGTCGCAACAGTGCCGGCGTAAGTTTGCTATGCAATCGATAACGTAGCGATAACTCAGAGATAGATTTATCGAATTGTTATCATATTTATTAGAACAACGTAAACATTGAGTTCACGTGCTGATTTCTATTATTATTAAAAACATATTAAATTAAATTCAATATAAATACTACGAGCTCAGATGTGCAGCATAGGTGAAGATGATTTTGGTGATGAAGGAGGACTACATGCCATACCAATACCCGAATCTGATATCGCAGCAATTGACGTGAGCTCCCAAACGATATGCTGGAAATGTGGACAAACGAACTCTGTTTATAAATTAAAAAACAGGCAGGCCGAGTGCGAGCAATGCTTTCTAGCTTATGTACGACACAAGTTTCGTGCGACGCTTGGTGTTTCCAAAGTGATACTACGTAACGCAACTGTTTTGCTTATATTTGATGGTAGCGCGGAGAGTTTGGTGCTACTGGATATGCTGCAGCATGCGCTGACACTTAATATGCACAAACGTTTGCATTGCAATGTGATAGTGTTGCACATTGATGACTATCAGCTGCAACATACAAAGCCAAATAGTCAATTAGAACATATTGAATATTTGTTGGCCATCAAGAATATATTGGCGAGGTACTCCTTTTTTAAATGTCATTTGGTACCCATAAACTACAAGGAACCACTCGAAATGTTTTCATTTGAAAACATAAATGCCTTTGTTAACAACATTACAGAACATGAAAGTGAATTGTTGAAACGAATCCAAGCTATAAATACTTTAACCAAGCGTCAAGACTATTTGAAACGGCGCCGTAACCACGTTATTGCAAAAGTGGCTTCGCATTTAAAATGTAAGTATGCTTTTGTGCCGGAATACAGCAAGGAACTTGCTGCTGAACTGCTAACAGCTGTAGCACTGGGGCGTGGTGGTAGTGTAGCTCTTGATGTTGCTTTGATAGATGATCGACTTATCGAAGGTGTTAAATTGGTGCGACCTTTAAAAGAACTTAATGCAGAGGAAGTTGAACTGTATATAAAAGCCCAGAAACTAGAACCATTGCCAATATCACGTTATGGAAAGGCAGAAGGCTGTAGAGCTAGTTTACCCAATTTGATAGAGGCATTCGTACATAAATTACAAAGCAACTATCCATCAACCATATCGACAATTTCACGAGTTGGGGAAAAATTAGCACCAAATCGTGATAAAAGTTTTGAGAAGAAATTAAATGATTTACATTTAAACAATGTAAATAGTAGCCGCGATTATACTCAAGTGAATACGTGCAGATTTTGCAATTCACCGCTCGACACCGCAAATTCAACAATATTGCTAATGACGGAATACTCACGTCTGGTGTCTAAAACAGGCACGATTGTTAGCGAGATTAATGACTTTGGCATTAAAGCTCAAGAAGAAGCGATTGCAGATGAGAATGAACTCTTACGACAACTTTGTTTTGCATGTCGAAAGATACAAAATAGCTGTTCCAGTGATGAGCTACTACTAAATACGTAAGAATCAATACTTATGCATGGACGTAACCAAGAGGGGACATAAGTGTCCAAAGTAATATTTTTTAATGAAAAAAGAGCCCATTGGGTAACGACTTCGTAAACGTCGTTGACGATATCGAAGCTAAGTGTGTGCTTTTAAAAAGGGATTTTAAAATTACAAAAATTGTTTCGGACTCCCGTCCATGTCTCTCTTCCTGGCTACAACAATGAACTTATAACGGAAGCACTAACGGATATTAGGAAATAAAATATAGAACACTTATAAAAGACTAAATAAACTACAATTTATTTCATTTAAATGATAATGTTATATATTAGTTTGTTTAAGTATGGATGTTATAAAAATTATTTTAACATAATAAATTACGCCTTACCTATTCGACATTGTTCCGTCATCTTGTAATAAATATATTATAGATTTGGAGGAGAAGCGTATAATTTATTTAAGGACATTTATTTTGTATATATAAGTATTAAGATTGAATAATTAGGCTGATTGATTGGGGAACCTAGGTTTGAGTCGCGCGTAAAAACTGTTCCTTGTAAATAGGTCAAACTGTTTATTATAGTTTGGCCTCTAATATTTTACTTTCTTTCTTAACATTTATTGATCGCTTTAAATTAAAATTATGAGTAAATTAGCTCATCAAGATTACGAAGATTCAGTGACGGCCTTATAAACCAATGTTCACTTACGCTCAAGATGAAATTATGGACCGTTATGATAAACAAAGGCTTTATAATATTTGACCATGGTTTTAGCGTCATAAAAAACAACTTATTGAATAGTTTATTGAGCTCTTCTACGAACCTTAAAAATCATAAGAGAAAATTGGTTTTCAACTAAAAATAGATTTATTTTAACCAAAGAAACAACAATGAAGTTTAAACATAAAAAAAAATTAAACACAATTACATGCAAAGGCAAGAATCTTTAAAGCAGAAAAAATCTGCGTTCACTTCTCAATTTTTCATGCATTGCGATAGCTAGTCTGGTTTTTTTAGAAACTTTTCGAAAAAAATATCCATTGAAATTTTGTTTAAGCAGGTAACTATTTTGTTAATAACTTTTTCTCTCATACAACACTTTTCAACTTGTGGCCATTGCATCAAAAACTTACTAAGGTATAACTAATGTAATATACAGTTTATATTACGATTTGAACTATAGCCGTTCCTATTTATTCAATTCTCTCAAAGCATACATAATTCTGAATCGAACTGACTTGTTAAAATCGGGGAGACAAGTTCTTGAGATTTTTAAACCCACTTTATCTGTTCCTTCCACACAGAATTCATTATTAAAATCTATTTTTTATCCCAATTCATTTCTTCACTTAACTACGTAGAGTCTATGTGATTTCTATACGAGGGCTACCCATTTCTCCAGGAGTCGTAACAATAAATTAGATTCCTATTTAATATGTTTAAATATTCATAAAGTCGGTTTTAAAAATTGTTGTTCTTTTTCAATCATTTTAACTTGGTAAAGAAAATAAATAAAGTATTAAGTAATAACTGGACCTGTATTATTTCATATATAATAATTTATATAAGAACTGAGAATGAAATATATTTTATACAATTTTAAACAAAACAGATTTAAATAAATTAGAAAGCACACTTTTAAATAAAAAATATATAAATGAAAAAAAAAATATGAGAAGTTTAATTTTCGGTAACGTTGTTTAGTTCAGCTGGATGTGTACGATTTGGGTCATCGGGTTTCATTGCTGGGAACAGTAGTACTTCCTGTAAAATATAGTAGTTTAAATTTTTGTTAAATAAAATTTTGTGGTTATTACTTTAATGTTATTTGAGTCGGTCAAAAACATAGTTAATCGATCAATGCCCATACCCCAACCGCCTGTTGGTGGCAGACCATATTCCAGTGCAGTGCAGAAATTTTCATCTACCATTTGCGCTTCATCATCACCTGCAGCTTTATCATTAGCTTGTTGTTCGAAACGTTCCCGCTGGACTGCTGGATCGTTTAATTCGGTATAAGCGTTGCAAACCTCTTTCTTCATTACGAATAATTCAAATCGTTCTGTCAAACCTGGCTCACTACGATGATATTTAGCCAAAGGTGACATTATTTGTGGATGTTCACAAATAAATGTGGGATTAACGCAAGTTTCTTCAATGAATTCACCTACTAATTTATCTAACAGCCTTGCGGTTGTACGCGGTGCTGGGCACTCAACTTCATGTTTTATACACAATTGCGATAAAAAGTTGTTTGTTTCTTTAGTTTGAAAAGATGTGGCCGGTGGAAATTTGACATTAAGTTTTTCTTCTAATGTTTTAATCATAGAAACTCTAGCAAAAGGAGGAGTAAAATCGATTTCATGCTCAGGACCCTCTGGTCCTTCTGGATGGTATTTAATTTTATATGTGCCGTGAATAGCTTTTACCATTCCTGATACCATCTGCTCTGTTAAATCCATAACATCTTGAAAGTCTGCATAGGCCATATAAAATTCACAAGTAGTAAATTCCGGATTATGCGTCAAATCAATGCCTTCATTGCGAAATTGTCGACCAATTTCATAAACACGGTCTAAACCTCCAACTACTAACATTTTATGATATAATTCTGGTGCAATTCGCATATACAAGTCCATGTTGAGTTCATTGTGATGTGTTATAAAAGGTTTTGCAGTAGCACCGCCAGCTACCATATTCATCATAGGTGTTTCAATTTCGAGAAAGCCTAAGCCATCGAGGAATTGCCTTACATATGAAATGATCTACAAAAATATTTTTTTAGTTAGATTGTTTTTAATTTTAGTTATATCAGGCTTACTTTTGCACGTATTTGAAACGTTTCTCGCACTTTATTATTAAGTATTAAATCCAGATATCGTTGACGGAAACGAGTTTCTTTATCTTTAAGTCCAAAATGTAAATGGGGAAGCATGTGAAGGCAAGGAGACAGCAATTTAATCTATAAAATTTTTTTATAATTTAATTTCATGTTATTAATTTATAGGACTGCAGAGAAAACACATTCATGTTACAAACACTATTCAAAAAATTTATTACACAATTTTAATTACATGCACACTTACTTCTTTGGGAACAATAGATAATTCTCCTTTTTTAGTTTTGGCTGGGTAACCATCGATACCAATAATATCACCGCGTCGTATCTTGCCCGTATCTGTCTCAAACGCTGTTTCGTTTTTGTATAACTTAGCATTGGCCATAACTTGTAGTTTTACACCTTCGCCGCGCAAGTCGTAGAATATAAGCTTTGCACCTGATTCTCGAATAGCATGTATGCGTCCAGCAACGCTGCATAAGAAAATCAATATTAAAATATTAATATTTCTATATGTACAGTTAATAATTATTTAATGTGAATGGTCTACCTTAATTGTTCATTTTCCAGTGATTCTCCTTCTTTTAAACCAGCATACTTTTGAATATAATTTTCCAATGATATGCTTACATGGAATTTATGTGGATAAGGATGTGTGTCCTTTGATTTCTTCAGTTCAGCAATTGCAGCTGAACGTAATTTAAAGTATTCATTAGGAGAAATATCTTCTTCCGCTGCTGCAGCGGATTTCTTTTTATCACCGGCTGAGCTCATTGCATTTTCAGTTGTTGAAACTTTGTTAGCTTCTTTTTCGGCTTTTTCCTTTGCCTTCTGCTCTGCTTTAAGACGGCGTTTGAGTTCACTGAAATCAAATATAGTATTAATATAGAAGAACACAACTGTGCAGTATGTATAGATATGGAAATAGCTATTATTTTAGTACAACACATACAGTTTAGTTCTCTTACTCGGCGCCTCGCCAACATTAGTAATGTGTAGATAACGCGAAAGTGAGTAATTCGTGTAATTCACTGCAGTTTGTACGTTAATTATACAGAGCTTATGAACTGCAAACACATGTCTATAAAATGAGTGCATTTTACTATATAAAAATATTTCTAAGAACTAAAGCTGATGCAATCGTGTTTAAATGCACTAGAGGAATTCTAAGAATTGTACTAAGTTTTAAGGCTGATGCAATTTTATGTGCAAATGTTCAACGCAGCAAAGATTTTCATATCGTAATGTACTTTTTTTATTGCTTATAATTATTTTACGATTAACATAACATTTTAGATTTTTATTGAACTCTAATATAAAGTTTTCTGAGGCAACCAGTAGAAATGCTTAATGCGTGGAAGTTCAACCTAACCAAAGATTTTTGCCGTGTTGTCAACTTGAATTTCAGGAAAGTATTTTGTTGAACAAAATTGCAAGTAATTACAATATTTCGACTCTAAACTTACTTTTTGGAAACTTCGGTAGTTGCTGTTGACATATTCCAGATATATTCAATAACTTATTTCAGCAAAACTTTGCAAAAACTTTGAATACCAAATTGCATTCAAATCTATACAAATCAAAACATAAACTCAAAGAGAATGTCAAAGTTGACGCACGTGAAAGTAAGAATAAAACTGGAAGGAAACTCTTTTCGGTAATTGCATCTTATATTTCTCATCAATCACGGTTGTGCCCAACACATAATTAACCTACCGTCGTTGGCTACAGTAATTAAATATGTCAAAACTGTAATTAAATAAAGAATACTACGCACAACAACTGTGGATTCATTTTACGTTTGATATAATGCTGATGCCATCCAAGTATTACATTTTTAATATAATATCAATTTCTACATTATTTAATCACAAAATAAGATTTAAATAATTAAATTTAGTTACGGACTAATAGTTTACATAGTGGTACTACATAGTGGTACTAAATATGGTCAGTTTATAAAATCAAAATCAAGCCGTACATTTCTGGTGTATACTTGTCTATACACGGTATCTATCAGAATTATTAATTTTCAAGAATTATTATAAATAATCAAAGCAAAATAACTCTTTGTTGAGATTGATCCTATAAGGTTCACATTGGTTAGCACTAGGTTACTTGGTGGGTGAGTTAATATAATATAATGTGTAATATATATTACAAACAAAACTCTCGTGTGAATGCAGTATAAGGAACAAACTGTGCCTTTCATTTGAAAATTTCTTGTATTTTTCTATGATATTTCAGCCAAGTGGCGCCAGTTATGTGACACTTGTGTTTAGGGTATATATTAATTTGTATAATCGCAATACTAACTATTGCGATTTTCAGAAGATTGTAATGATACTTATCAGCTTTACAATATTCTATGATGTCAGTGTGACTGGGAATCTATATTATAACAAGTCAAATAAATTTATGTGTACTGTAATGTACAGAAATTTTATTAAAAATCCATATTATTCAGTGTATTATTCCAAAAATCAGATAAAACCGTTTTGCCAATAAATTTGTAGTTCCTCACATATTGTGAGTATTTTTTAAGTTTTGAAACAAAAAAATTAAAACGGCAACATCTATACACTACAAATATTGGCAACGACACTGGAGTACTATTTAAATACAACTCTGTACTTTAAGATGTTCTGCTTTAGAACATAAAGTGCAAAGATGAAGGTGGTGCAGAAAATTCTGCAAGTTCTTTTATTTGTTTAAATTTTTAAACTTATCATAGTTAAGCATTAAACTGGAACTTGTACTGATATCTGATTAAACAGTGATTCTACTAGAACTAATAAGTTGTATGTATCTTAACAACAATGAGTGCAAAAAAAAAGTGTTACTGCCCTAACATAAATAAGTCGAAGACATCATGAAGAGAAAAAAAATGAATTCACAAATTTTAAACAGGTTAATTATTTGAAATGACGTCATTATTGCATTCAATGATGTATGAAAAATATAGTGGATTTTCAAAAGAATTAAATTGCAATTAGCCCAATTAAAAAATAAAGTGTTGCCATCAACTTGCATTAAATATGTGCAGGAGTGAGTTTTTAACCTTTCGGTTGGAGAGCATTCAATAGTCTTCAACTAACATTAATTATGAGTTAATAATATATCTAAAATGTTCTACAAGTATAGTATTTAATTGGCTAATGAAAAGTGATAACTGCCGATATAAAAAATAGAAAATGTGTTTGTTGTTTGTCTTTAAGAATACGCATTTTTTTTTTACAAAAATGGGAACACTGATAAAAATCTATAAATTAAAAGAGAAAATACGCTGAGAGTGTAGTTTGGTATAAAAACAAACAGTAAAAACCGAACCGAGGTAGCAAAACAAAAGTAAAAAAACGTGCTGAGCAAGACGGAAATAAGTAACTATAACACAATGACATCACAACACTGGTGACGTCATATCGAAATACAGGTATACAGGTGGAAAATTGTGAGTAAAACTGAAACATGGACTGTAAGACGAAAATGAGCGATGATGATGATGAAGAGGAGGGTGCATGTTGTGTTATATTAAAATCAGACGGTAAATCTACAGCTGATTTAGGACCAACCACAACTAACGAAAGCAATGTAAACACCTGCGGTGGTGGTTTCGACGACAATAACGAACTGAAGAAGGAGCGTTTTTCTCTACGTGAGCAACGTAATTAACATAATTCATTGATTATTATAATAATATTCGTATTAATTTAATTTCTTTCATTGCAGATTTTAAGGATTTGGATGATTCAAACCAAAAGAGTTTAAAAGATGATACAGAATTGCAAGAAAAGGACAGGCAAAGTTTGTTAACAATAAAATCATATGAAACCCCAGCAACGCTTTCGCCGACTAATTCGTACAACAGTGACGGTAGCAGTGTAGGTGGCGGAGCCAGACGAAAATCACAAAGCGGTGGTTCCACACCACTTAGTGGAGCTAAAAAGAAGGCAAAGGGAGCGAATGTTAAATCTCCTGCTGCTTCGACACCGACTGTCCCAAGTACTTCGGATAATTTTAATTTATGGGTTGCTCGGGAGTGTTTTGAAACCATACCCGCAGAGACTGTATATGAAGTGGATGACAATATAGCTATTGAAGATGAAGACGAAGAAGCTGCTGTAGAAAGTTTATTAGGAGCAGCAGCAGCACTTCAAGTGGCTAGTGGTGTCCAAAGACGACAGAAACATTTACGGCAACCGCAACATCGTCCACTGGAGCGTTCGTGGCCACCTCGTGCAATTGGAAGAGATATGAAACTACAAGGCGATGTATTTAAATTTGATATTTTAGACACTGATGAACGATTAGATGAATTCAATGATGCTGGGATAACGGGAGGAGGTTATGGTTGTACTACTAGAAGTGCAAATAATTCTCCATTACTTATGCTTAATGATACGACTTCCACTAGTCCTCAGTATGATTTGAGTTCATCCTCAACACAACCGCCAATGAAATTTAAACCACTTATTAAAAAAAAAATTGGTCCGGACAGTTATATAAATACTATAAGCACGAGAAAAGTACCGATAACAGATACTTATGAATTTCCAACATTTCCTATAAAAGATAATGGAATAAATTGCAGTCAATTTCCACAACGACATCGTCCTTTAACACGTGCCTTATCAAACGGTAAAGCCACTGGAAATGCCATCAATTATGAGGATGCGGTTAAAATGAGCTCGCCACGAATTCTCTTGTCGCCAAAAAGACAACGTAGTCCTCCTTCTGGTTGCTCATCACGCAGTGCTTCGCCTTTAGACTTAAATCTAAGTCCAGAATCTGCTTCACCAACTAACCTTACTCAACACAGATGTAATTTAACACAGTTCAACACAGTTTCTCCTATACTTAACAATACAACAATGAGCCCACATATACGTCCACAACCCAGACTTTTGAAACGAGTGGGAGGCGGAGCAGGTTAGTTAGTAACATTATATGCCTGTATTTATATTTATTTAAACTTTTTAAGGTGCAAATTTAATTTGTCCTCCAACACCTACGCATCATGCCCGTCGACACTCACGGATAGCCTCTAATTCAAACACATATGGACTGAATAGTAATGACAATATTTATTTGACCACTAATTCTTTGTCTGATTCAAATAGTCAATTGGAATATAATTTTATAAGTACGCCACCTTCTTCTCCTGCTTCAATAAATACCGGAGCAATTACAACTGGTACATTAGCGTCCGAAAATGATATTAGGACGGCAGATATTGTACAACTTGGTGCCACAGCAGCTAGTAATGGTGATACCGATGCGATTGAAGTAGTTGATAATGATATTGTACACATTACAAGCACTCGTTTGCCTTCGATCCCAGAGAGAGGTGCTGCCGGTGGTATGTTACGTACAAGCGGTATTTTTGGTGAAACTGATACGACTGCTGAACCACTACCACCTGCTTGGGAGGCTCGTATGGATAGTCATGGTCGTATTTTTTACATTGACCACACAACTCGCACGACTTCTTGGCAACGACCAGTTATAAATGGTGCTGTGGTTACAAATGGGCCGGGTAATTCCTAAATTAAATTATTACTATTATTTCATACTATTATTGCATATTGTTATTCTACATACATTATTTTCTACAGGACGTGAACAACATCATCGTCAGCAGTTAGATCGACGTTATCAATCTATTAGACGTACAATTACTAGCGAAAATAGGCCTTCAGCTGCTTCTAGTATACCTGCTGGCATTTCCACTGATACAACACATGCCAGTTTTTATAATCAAAGTGCCAATAATAATTATAATGCAGTAGCGCTTGGGCCTAGTTTGCAGTCACTGAATCTTGGGGTGCATCCAGCAGTACTTATGTTATGCCGTCCAGATTTCTATTCAATGTTACATACAAATGAGGATGCACTTTCTATATACAATCGCAATACAGCTTTGAAACATATGGTTTTACGTATACGACGTGATCCACAATGTTTTCAACGATATCAATATAATAAGGATCTTGTGGCTTTAGTAAATTCATTTGCTCAACTCAATCGTGATTTACCTTCTTGTTGGGAGACTAAGCTTGATCAATCAGGAAAACAATTTTTTATCGATCATAATAATCGGAAGACCTCTTTCATGGATCCACGTCTGCCAATTGATTGCCAGCGCGTTGTAAGACAACGTCATCAGCCACATAACTTTGATGTTTTTGATGGGAATTGTTTGTCCTCCTCAAGTATACCACCACAACCACCACCAAGACCAAATATTTCATTGTCAAACAATCGAAATAGTACACATAATGGTGTTGGAGTCGTTGGAGGAAGTAATCATTATGAGGGCTACAATGAAGTGCCCATTGCTTACAATGAAAAGGTAATGAAATTAATGTTTCAATGTATGAAAGTTTGTATGAAAGTTTAATTCTTTAATTGTTCTATTTGGAATAGGTGATTGCGTTCTTGCGTCAACCAAATATTTTGGAGATTTTGCGTGAACGTCACGGACAACAAACTGTGTCTCGTTCACTACGTGAAAAGATTAATATCTTACGTGTCGAAGGTGTGCCGGCTTTAGAACGTCTTGGACATGATTTGCAATTAACGATTTTATTAAGGTATGTAAAGATTAATCTTTAATCTTTAAAGATTAAAGATTTTATATAAGCGCTAATTTGATTAACAATTGAGTCGGTATTATGACTTAATTAGTTGTAGATATACTTAATCAGATTTGAGCTTGCTGATATTGATGCAAAAGTATAAAACATTTAAGTATTTAGTTTGCTTTTGACAAAACGTCGAGAAGCAATAGTGTACATACAGTATATATTTTACATATAATATTTATTTTAAGTTTTACAATTATTATTTACAAAGAAATGTTTATGGTTTGATGTTTGATTTTAGCCTTCATAAGTCAAGAACTTAAGCATGCACGGAAATGCGCTCAAGTCAGCTTGTATGTTTGTCCTGCATCGCTGACTTTACATTTAATTAATTGACTGTTTATAAATTTTTTACACTTAATCAAGGTTTCTTAATTAAAGTGTGCGGTTTAGCAAGGTTAAAATAATTGCCGCTCTTTAGGAAAACCACAAAATTCTAATTCTTTGTCGTATATTAAACACCAAGCGATCAATAATCATAAGCATTTGCAAAAGGTGCATAAAAAGTAGAGGGAAGTCATAAACATTTTAAATAATATTTTTAAGCAAAAAATATTTTATTTGGTTGCAATCATTATTTAATAAATTTAAATTATTTATTTACGCTTCATTGCAAAGATTTTTTCTAAGTATTTGTATATAGGAGCGATGATGTGATGATGTGTCTTCATTACACCATTTATTGATTATATTCATGATATCAGACTAGACAAATTGTTTAGCCAGATCGTGCAGTTGTTCGCTTTCTACGTATGCAGTTCGAATGAATCATTAGCAATTAATCTTTTTAATTAGTTTCTAATTAACTTAAGGTTGGTGAACTCTTATGAAATAACAAACTGACTATGAATAGTTGTGTGAAAATCAGTTAAATTGCAATATCTTGTGTAATTGATATCGAATAAAATAAAATAAAATTGTCTTCCGTTTAGCTAGGCTATAACTTTATTATACAGTTCCTTATATATAAATTTAGGAAACTGTTTTAACCTCGTTCTCCGGTAATAATTCAGTATTCTGTATTTTTACGCCATGATATCGGGTTGACGTCGTTACATGAAGAGAGGTTTAGAATAAACGTCATGAACGGATTAAACTACGAATACATAAGTTAGAATGCAGCATAAATGAAGGATGTTGTCGTGGGTGGGTGTTAATTGAAACTAGCATAGGTCAAGGTAAAAGAACTTGTCACTTAGACGGGATGAAACCCTAAATCAATGGGGTTTAAAATTGATATGTGACTCGAAGCATGTAGTTACAGTTGAGTGAGGTTAGGAGGAGTGGAACTGTAGTTTGAGAACATATTGAGAATAGACATGTTTTTTGTTTCTAACACAATGGATTTTATTGAAAATTTAGAATTAATTATTGGATTAATCTATTCGCTAATATATTCAGATGGCTGAAAATGGTTTGAGATTAGATGGGATATAGCTTTCATGGGTACAACAAATTAATAAAACTAGTTCGTACTACTCCTGTTTAAGTTCTAAACGTTAAGTGGTTAAACGACTGAAGTTATGGTAACAACATAAATTTAAAAGACTACTATGTTCGCCCAAAATGCTAGTTAGTATATATAAATCATAAATTATATATATAAAATTATAAATCCATGTATTTTACATGTATAAAAATAATAATTTTTATATATAACATACAATGACCAATAGATGGGGATAAACATTTAGTAAATAATTTATTGTTTTTAAATGATTGTATTTGTAATATCATATTTGGATCCAATGAATCGCGTTTTCATGGTATTTTCATTTAAATTGTACTTCTGTGTGCTTTATTAAGAACTATAGCTCAAAATATATTCGTTATATATATTTGCTGACTACCTGACCTAGGTAGGTCAGTGGTAAAATAATTGATTAACATAATTTTCAATTTTTTATTAATTTTTGTGAAAGATTGAAGAATCTTTTATTGTCATTGTCGAACACCGCAAATCACAACTAGATACTTAAAGCAGTCACAGACTACATAATTGCGTTAATCAATGCAAAAATATTCAATAATTTAAAAGTTAATCTGTTTAAAGGTTTATATATTCAGGAACAGATTTGTACGCTACATTATGTATATTAGACAGTAGTGTAGTTGTACGGTTTGGAATAGCTTTAAAATCTTATTTTAAATTATATGAGAGAGCAATGATGTCAATAATTAATAGTTAATTAGAATACTTTGTTATTCATTCAAATGATTAATGTGAGAATGTTATAAAGTTTGTTTTATAATTGTTAGTTTCTCAAAATTTCTAGGAACCAATGTTCACTATAAATTTTCCTTTATTTTATGGAATTTTCTATATGAAAAATAGTAAATCATTATTAATTAATAATTTTGCATTTTAATTCTAAAAAATGTTGTTTTCTAAATGTATTGAAAACTAAATTTTCTCTTCAAATTATTTCCGTGTTTTGACACAATAATGCCATTCAAATTAAGATGACAGCTTTATCAGGTCATTTGGAAAATATTTTTAATCTTGTCTAACCAATGATGGGTATTGACGCATGAGATAGAGTACACTATACTCCTTATCCCTATGTCATAAGCCTATGTCTAGGTATCTCAAGAGAAGAGAAGCAGTTGCGACCAAAAGTTTTATTGCACTTTGGTATAAACATTCATAGTTAACAGAACTATAGGATGACAAATCCTCCTTTCTTAAAGTGAACTGTGGATGGTGGAATATGTCGTGTTTTTCAAAATTTACAATATTTATGATCTAATTACAATAAAATGTAATATGTGATGTCTTTTTGTTGAATACTTTGAGGTTAAATTAAAAAATTTCTTTCAACACATAGTATAGTATAGTTGTATAGAAAGTTCATGAAAGAATGTAATATTGGCAGCAAAGTATTTCAAGTGAAACCCAGTTATATTATATGTGTATGAAAAGGTAACAACCACTGTATGCTCAACACACTGTTCACAACTTCGGAAAATATATGCGTATAGATTGCTTATGTTGTTCTTAATGTAGCTTGTGTAGTTTCTGCCTTCCTTCGGTTACCATTCTGATTCATCTCATTTGCAAATGGTGGAATTCTGTAGAGTATTGTGGCGACAGTACTATGGGTCTCTAGAACCAAAGACTTTTTAAATCGTTATCGTTCGGGTTGTTAATTTAGGAAATTCGATTCGATTCGATTGTCGAGAACGATCACGACAGGAATTGCATTAGTCGTCGAGTATAACGGGTAGTAATATTTGTGATTCCTCTATTTGTAATTCATCTAAATGATCAATATTAAAAAATACGTGGTTTTGGTAGAAACAATTGTGCCGTACTAAGCATACAATTATAAGTAAATTCATGAGAGTTTTCTTAAGTTTTCAGTTTGTTGGTGTAGAGATCTTTATAACTCTTTAATGACACTCCTGACCTTAAGTACTTTTTATGCGAATTCCCAGTTATAGGTATTAAGAATATATGTTCACATCTCTCTCCCCTGATTACTGGAATGAAGTTTCTTCAATTCTCAGGTTTAACAAATTAAGGGATTCCTTATGATATATACAAGCTAATGATCTGCTCGACAACCCAATAATAAATCTTAAAATAATATTAATCTATATTAACCACGCAGTTTAACTTAAAAAATATTGTACTTGAATCTTATTTCCGGGTGTCTGGTAAGAGAAGAAAGGTGTGTGTGCTGCCTTCAAAATGAATTAACTATCCTAAAGGCCTACGCAATATATATTTGAATAGAAAGAAGTCTTTGTATGTCAGTTTCTGGATTGCAAACTTCAACTATTTCAGTTTAAACGACCGACATTAAATCGACAGAATCTTGAAATTTTGAAAATATTTGTCAAATTATTTACTTTTTTGCGCTTCACTACTTTTTATTGCCTTTTAGATAACAAATGAAGATCTGAATTCCGAGCTAATTTAGTAATTAGAGGTAGAGGCGGAGTTGCTGTGATGATCACTGATCACAGCCGATACTCGTGCGATTGTTTATGTCGTCCGTTAAGCACTTTTAGGAGTTTTGTATTGCTTCGGCATTTTTTTGATGGTTCATTGCTGCAGTAGCAAAATCAGCAATAAAAACAAAAACAGAAACAAAAACAAAGACAATATGAATAACTAAATGTAAATTTTAATGAAACAATGACTCAGTTTCGGTATGAAGCTAAAATTGTTGCTTCTAAGCGTTTTCTCCTCTCCTATAAATAGCTTAGATACTCTAATAAATGCATGCACACATATGTTTCACTGTGGCATTTGGTTACAGTGGAGCGTATATAAACCAATTTTGAATTCGTTTACTTATTAATTTATGATTAAAATATGATAATTATGAATATTGATTGCAAATTAATATTAAGTTTTTTAATTATAGACTACTGGTCTATATAGTAGAGTTTTCCTTAAGTAGATTGGCCGATGTATGTATGACGATGTATGACGTATGAGCAAGAGTTCACATGTAAATATTTGCATTGTTTTTAGCTTCGTTCTACTGTATATTTGAATAACTATTAGTAGTACTTTTTACACCATAATATTTAATGATATTCTACTATGTTTAATTTTTTTTTTTTTTTGGTTTGTTATTAATAATATTTATCTTAATACAGTATTTATCGTTATTCTTAACAACAAAAGCGTTCATTCACTTGTAGAACGCGTACCTGACATTGTCGCTCCTCCACAGTCACAGTCACAGTCACAGTCACAGCCACAGTCACAGTCAGCGGTGGCAACTGCTTCGGCTACGGCTACTGCCACTGGTTCCCGGGTAGAACTTCTAAACGCTTAAACGATTAAGCTTAAGCGATACGGTATTTGTTTTCGGTTTGTAAATCAAATTTACAAAATTAAAATATCTTGTGAAATCGAAAGTATCTCAGTGAAGAACAATAAAGCACTGATATTGTTCGTTGAGTAAATATTCGCACATGAAGTCATAAAA